AATATCGTAAAAACGTCGTGTACATAACTCGATAAAATGCAGGAAATACTAGATGCCAGTAATGATGCTAAACTAATAGAGGATAAAACCTCCTCAAATGCACTTAATAAGTAATACAAGTGCTAAGTGTAGGAAATAGCAGTGTAAATGCAGCTGCTAGTATACCTTATTTTACTTAGGAAGTTTGTTTTATTGCATCGTAACATAACATCAAAAGGATTTAGCTCAGATGTCTGTGTGGTACAGTAAAGATAAACTTATCTGCAAATGTATCTGCACACTAAAATCATGTTTGAAAATAGATTGCATCAAATATATAATTGTTTATAATTTAATTAAATAATATACACTATAAAGGTGTTAAAGTAGATAATTTTAAACATTCTAAAGGAATACTCTATTTGAACACTCTGTTGTCTTTCTCCTTTTTAACTTTTACCGAACATCTGATGGTTTGTAGCGGTTATTTATAGATAAGAGTATGTCTACTGCCCATCATAACTTCTTGATAGCGTTATAACACTTAATAACTCAGTACTTATTCTTCTTATATTAAAAAATACTGGTTATTTTACCTTTTTATTACATATATAATAACAACTATGGATTTGGACTTCTTGGTATAGATAAAGATCACAATAAAGACTCACAATGACTAATATCAAGTGATATATCCATAGTCTGTACTTACTATGTATATACATTCATCTTGTTCATTCATCCCTCGTCATACATAGTCATCGTTTCCATACACTCCAAATTCGGCCGCTTCAGGATATCACTAATTTGGGCGATGTAAATCCGTAGACATCCCACAGCTGATATAATCATTCATTTTACAAGTGTTTATATTGTCCTATAGCCTCAGTACATTTATGTTTTTTTAATATTTTTACTTTAAATTTATCTCATCACAAAATCTGGATTATTTTATAACATATCATTCTACAAATTTATTGAGGAGGATATACTCTATACAATAGCTCTTTTACTCCTTTTATTCTGCTGCAGTAGTCATAATTTAATACAAAATATAAAGTTAGAACAGCAGTAAAAGTCCAAATAGAAACTTGTCCTTACATTTAGTCTCGCAAATAGCACAGCAATAGGAAGCAGTAATGGCTCGTTGGGTTTGACTGACGACTCTCGCGGTTGGCAAATTGGTTGCTTTTCCGTTATTGAGCGAACGCGAATCGCTCGCTTAAAGTTTTTATTTAAGTAATTATTTGATTCTTGATTTAGAAAACAAATATCAAATGTATATTATATATTATTAGACTACCAGTGTCAGGTATTTTGAGATATTACATTAGTTGAAAATTATCTTCTGTCAGAAATGAAATATTTTGTCTTTTCTACTTTTCAAATCGAGATCTTAGCATTTTTCTGGAATCAAAATTGTTCTGAATCCCATAAAGATCATATGAATTAATCGAAACATCTATTTTTATGTTTTATTTAATAAATATAATAAAAGAATTACCAGAATAAAAGTATGCTAAATATATGCCGTAAATATATGAAGATGACGTTTCTGTTGTTGTTTCCTGTAAAAATAACCTAAACCTACAAAGTACACTGGATGGTAGTATGTTAAAAATAATGAGCTGGTTACACTCACATAATTTAAAAGAAAATTTTAATAAAACTAAATTAATGGTTTTCAGTCCATTCCAAAAGAACCCGCTGCAAATTAACTACTCTTTCAATAATATTAAAATAGATTGCGTAGAGAAATATTCGCTATTAGGTGTAAATGTAGATTCGAATATTAATTGGAAAGCGCATGTGCAGAGTGTGGCTACCAAGCTGTCTAGATTCACTTATGCACTACACCAACTAAAGATATCTTCTGATACCAAGACAGCCATGTGCGCCTATTATGCATATGCCCACTCTTTGCTCCAGTACGGCATATTGATGTGGGGTAATAGTACAAACGTGATTGACCTTTTTAAATTGCAAAAACGATGTCTCAGAATAATTGCTAACATAGATAACAGGGAAACTTGCAAACCATACTTTATTAAATATAAAATTTTAACTTTACCGTCAATGTACATATTAGAAGCGTGTCATTTTGTTAAATGTAATATGCACCTATTTCCACAATATACCCGCCCTGAGGCATTGCGACCGCAATGTAGATTAGCAAGACCATTCTCGAAGCTACAGTTATTCCATTCTGGCCCTTACGCAATTTCAATAAAAATTTACAATAAAATACCAATTAACTTAAAAGGTGAGGATGATTCTAAAAAATATTTAATCGCAAAGAGTTATTATGCACTACAGGAATTTTTCAAGGAAAAAAGTTAGTTGTGTTTGTGCCTGTTTGTTTTAATTTAGTGATGATTTTTTATTTTTTTTTATTTTTTATACTAATCGACGATACATATATATAATGTAAAAATTTAATTATGTAGTTTATATAAGATTTATTAATGTGATTGCTGTGCCCTTTCAGGGTTCATGTTTGATTCTATACTTTTAGTAAATTAAGACCAATTTTGTTACAACATGTAATAGCAATAAATAAATGAATAAATGAAGAAATTCTAATAAGGTCTATTAGAATTTCTTCATATATTTAGGGCATATATTTAGCATCATCATTATGTGCCATCGAGTTCGAGACCAGATGTCTAGACTGTAATAGAGCTATTCCTAACAATTATAATCTAAAATTAGTACAAAGCTAGTCCAGACATTAGCTAAACGTTACGGTACGTTGACACTAAGTAAATCAGGAACATACTGTAAACCATCAGCCACAAGTTCATGGACCCAGTGACATTTAGGACGCTATTTTAGGCATACTTTCTCCCTAGCAGGTGATGTCTTGAAACTATATGGTCTGGTGACATGTTTTCTTTTTTCTTCTATACGCACATTGACGCTGAGTATGTTTATATTTGCAGTTAAAAAAATATCAAAATCGTTGTAGTCTTGAATAATTAATTTTTTTAATACAATTGTAATTAAAATACTCAAGAAAATCTTATTAAACCTAACAGTTTTTGCTATCTTAATAATTTTAAGTGCAATATAAAATAGTTTAATTCAAATTGTAAGATTTAACTTAAAAAAGAAAAGAAAGTCTATATTATATTTGAATAACTATTGTATAAATAAGTACATAACACTTCTGTCCTTTCTACATAATGTGTATACAATTTCATTTAGAAATTAATTTCTTATTTTCGTACCTATTTATTGCTTCCATATTATCCTTTTAAAATCTAAATCCGTATTATTAATATGAAAATTATGTTCATGGTAGAAATTAATCTTAATAACTAGATCTCTTCCGTCTTATTTACGTATCACTTATCCATTAATGTTCTGTGGCTTTAGCCGTATACTCTATATCTTCAATAGCGTAGCTGTAATCAATTTCCGTTTCCATTACATGAAATTGCCGTGTTTCTTGTTAGATTATATTTACTTTCTTTTAAGTTTCATTAGATACTATATTTACTGAACATTGACTAAGAAATTGTAAGGCAATTTTTGTTCTTACATCGTTATCTTTTACTCGATTATCTTTTGCACTGTCATCTAATTTGTTGGTATGACGTAATGCAATAATTATCTACTGACAATGTTTAGCTTTCGCTTTCCTTTCAAAGTATTTAATTGAAGTTATAAATATGCTAATAATAGAAATGTATGAAAAAAGTAAAAAATTGTTTCGTTCCTGTTGCTTCCGTGTTATTTAAAAACATTTTTGTTATATCAAATTTAGTAGAAATAGATCAGACTGCTCGTTATTATTATATTTTATGTATTTTACATGCTATAAACACATCTAATTTTAGGGTTTAAAACCCCATAATTATGGAACTGATGTAATCGTAAATAAACCTTCATTTATGTAGCGGGTTACGAAACCATCGTTATTTATAGGAGAAACGCTTTAAGAGCTTTTAAAGTGTCAACATGCTTGCTATCTTTAGACACTTTTATGATTTTTGTTTAAATTGGTTTACGTTACACACCGCTCTTTCATATTTTTATTATTTTTCTTAACTGTGACAATCTATTACTGGGCTTTTAAGGTTTCTTATATTTAATGTTTTTGAAGTTGTTAAAGGCTGATTATTGATACAAGAAATTGTATAGTATAACGAGTTAACACACGGTCAAAGAGCATTCTTTAGTTGCACAACTCAGTTCGATGGTATTTTACTCAGACCTATTTAAATCAGTTTTATGACTATTGTTCTGTACTTTGTTCTTTTAAATCCACCTTAATAATCCTCATTCTCAGAATAGTACAAACGTTAAAAATACCCGTGTTTATGTGCAATTAATGCTCCTGGCATCATCGTATGTGGGACAAGCAATGCACCCAGGGGTCACTATGTCAGTTAGTAGACTATCGTAATAGTAGTAGTGTTGGTTCAAAGCCAAACGTTCAGAATATTTTTAGAATTGTAATTTGTATAAAAACTTGTTGCGCATGTATAGTAATTACATTATAATTTTATGTACCAGGTTTGTACTTTAGTCGTAAAGGTTATACATATATACCAAACCGAATATAATTATGAAACTGATCATGTCTAACCATGTAAATAAGAAGTCTGAATGAAAATAAACTTAGCCTTTTTCATAACAAATCAACATATGACCACTAAGCGTCGTGACTACTATTATTTATTTATTACTACTCTGACGTAGAACGAAATGTCATAAGTTCAAATCTATGGACACCAACAGAACTTTGTGTGTCAAATTATCTTTCTGACTGACTCTCCGTTAATGGAAAGATCAATAATAAACAAACATATGTCCGTGACATAGCGGCAAGCTCACCTCCTGCCACATTGAATTTGATATACAAAACGAAATGTGGGCATGTCAAGTTTTTCGTTTACTACAAAGTCGACAGTTAATAATGCCTCTAACTACCCCATCTGGAATAAACAGCCATGAAAGTTTTACTATTTGATTGAAATAAGTGTCAATATATTTATGTAATGATACTTTTCCAGCTGTATCAACAAGATGGTCAGCACTGCGAGCAGCTGCTACAAGACGCGGCGGCGCTCGACGCCTGCGCCGCGAGATGGCAGCACTACACGAGAATCTCGACGACGTCTGCGAGCCTGGTGACTGTGCACCCCAACCACATACCAGGGCGCAGTTGACGAGGAGGATTGAGGAACTGAAGGCGTGTACAATATTCTTATTCCTTTAAAAGAGTTCGGGTTTGATATGGATGTACATAGATGGCATTAGTACCTAAGGAAAAGGATTCTTTTTAGAGAAGCGTAGCAAGAGATAACTTGCTAAGGACCTTCTCCCAAATTTATAACTGTGTTGTTTAAACTTTTTTGTTCAGGTGACAACCTACCTCATATCATAACCACGGCTTAGGATTATACTGTATATACGTCTGTAATTTTAGAGTAGTATCATAGTAATTGTATTTTTTTTTTATTATTGTGATATGATTGATTCTATTTTTCTTTAACCAGCGTTCTTCCGCAAAAAAATCTAGCTTCTCTAGGAACCAGAAACCAATTTGGAAAATACTCTTTTTATATATCTGCGTTTATAAGATAGACAAAAGAATAAGAAAACACAATATATATACAAAAAAGCTTTATATTACAATTATTTTTATACTGTTTATTTCTAAATCAAAATAATGTCAAGTTTATTTACCAAATATTCAACTGAAATAAAACAGAATATACACGTAAGTATGCACTTACAAGATTTGTTAACAGCATCGTTATACAAGTCATTTTATAGCACGTTGGACATACTGGTAATTTATCACACTGTACAGGTAATTCAATATTTATCTTAAAGGTTAATAACATATACGGTTGCGCTCGATACTAACTCGGCCATAGCGTGTTAGTCTGTCAATTACGATGAGTTAATCATCTGTATGAATTGTTTAGTTTGGAGTTTATTAATGGAAACGCCTACCCATTATTAGGTGGCTGGGCCTCTATTGTAACACATGATATCCACCTTATACTATTAATCGTTATTATATTGAAATGAATAAATCATTCATTGTCTTCGATTATTTATATAAATTATATATTATTCAATTTTATATTAAATTACACTTTATATTATTGTATTAACAAATGAAATTCATTTGCCAACTAACCTTGAATATAAATGCCATTTAAATTCTTTTAATGTATATGTACATACATATTTAACAGTACCACTTTAGTTACTCGATTTTCTCCACCGCCGTAATGATGTAGGTGTTCAAGACATAAATAATTATGTGGTATTTATAAAACATAAGTGTATAATTTGAGTAATATTCTGGACAGACCAACGGATCACCTTGGTCTGATAATTAAAGTAAAGAAAAACCCCCTGATGGGATAAGATTTTTATGGATGATTTATATTTTAATGAGAATATGAAATTTTAAACCCAATGCCTTACTATTGGATAAGATTGACTAGTATGCATACTATTGGAGAATTATAGGATGAAGGTAAAGCCAGAAATTAACCAGCCAGTCCAGGGGGGTCGCTATGGAGAGTCCACCAGACATGCTATCATTGTGGTCTCTTTTTTCTCTCTTTACTAACAAACTCACTCCCGCGACATCGGCAGTTAACCTCTAACTCGGGTTACAACTATATTAGGTTATCATTATATTAAAAAAATATAAAAACTTATACCTCTTTTACAAATATTGCGCGAACGGAGGAGTATAAAATTGCGCACTCTTATAGTTTATATAGAGGGGGAGTGCAGAATGCTAATATTTCTTTTTAATTATCTAATAGATTTATAATAAAAAAAAACATTCCACACACTACCATGCATTAGACATACACACGCATAGGATGAGAACCTTAATAATGTACAATCTTAAATTTGTATCATGGTCGAATTTCGATCTTTAGTTCATTATAATTGCTTAAGTATTTATTATATATTTTTGTACCAATAGGAACGTTTATCGCGTCTGCTAGAATGCAAGGTGTCCATGTTAAAGTTGACGGTATCCGTTCGCCGTGCTCTCGGCGAGATGGAGTCGGATGACAGCGGATTGGCTACAGAACTATCTGCGCTCTTGGCTCGGTGGGAAGAAGCCCATCAACGGTGAGTATTAAGTTACAAACTTTTTTTATATTAATTCAAACCCATAAACTACTACTGGTCTAAATGGTCTGCTATTCTATGCTGCTTGTATATGTATAATGGATAATAATGAAATCATGCTCCCTCCTGCACTAATGGTTTACGCTGGCGGGGCACTAATGAAGCATAATGAGATGAGCATAAGAACAGCTCAGTTCAGCTCAACTAAGGTTTTCAGGGAAAACCACGTGGAGGTCAATATTACATGGTTCAATGCTATCATTAATCCACATTACTATCAATTCCCTACCCTTTACAGCTTTTAATTGAAATTATATGTACATACTAAGATACAAACAAAAATACTTATCTATCAACTTTAGCACTATTACTTCTTTGTATGTAAAAGCGATTAAAAAAAAACAAACACTAAATATTAATCGAAGCACAACAAATTAATAAAAACTAGACTCTAATCGGTTGGTAAAATATTATTTATATATTTACTTAGCAAGTTTCATTAAAATCCATGTATTTGTATAGTTTTTTGGTGTCAGCCAGATTTGAACAGTTGACCTTTCGCGTCTAAATTTGCGTAGTAAACCTCTAGATTACAATGCTCTGATGAAACCTTTTAGAGGTCAACCTGACATGGTACATTGGTATATACAATGGGGCTATTAATCCATATTACTAATAATCTCTTCACCCATCCCCGGCGCTCAGAGTAATCGAGTTATATATATGATTTATTTTTTATATTATTTCACCAGCACCTCAAACGAGTTGCTATCACTGGAGAAGGCGGTTTGCGTGTGGGCGGAGTGGGACAACGCGTTCCGTGAACTACAGGGTGCTCTAAGAGGCGACCTGGCGACATTGGAATCGTTGCGCGACCGCGGCACCACTTTCGGAGACCAGACTGAAGTGGCCGCTCAGATTCGACAGCTGGCTGCATCGCTCGTCGAGAAAAAGAAGGTCAGTGGTGAATTTTTAGTTATTATTTTGAGTCCTTGTCCTTAGGTCGTTAGTAATGTATTTTATCTAGTCGCATAGAATTCTATAATTTTATATAATGAAGGTAATTTTAATGTAAGAATAATAATTTATTTGTCTCAAATAATAAGCTATTACAATTGCTGCGGCAGTGAGTACACGCTCTGTGCTATTCTGTTATAGACTTGTTCGGCAAATTATTACAATAAAGTTGTATGTTATGAGGTTGTTAATCTCTCTGGATTTACTAAACCGATTTAGAAAAGTTTTTTAATGTTGAATAACCCAGTTATCGAGAAAGGCTATACAACATTATGTTACAACCATTAAGAGCGGAAAAAGGTTAGTAAATAAGATAGCATAAAAGTGGGAAATATGACGCAAATGGAGTTGCGCGGGTCAGTACATGTATCTGTATATATATTCACAGTTTATAATTATCTCATGTAAGTGAATTGTGTAAATCTTATGGGAAATAAATTTCATAAATCTTTTAAATCGAAAATCAGGGGCATATAAGAACAGCGGTGGTGGGATGAAATGAATCGAAGCAGTGGTGGTGGGAGAAAATATTATATTCATTAACATATTTCTAATGATTATACAGGGTGGATCTACTTGCGATTCGTTATCGGATTCCGGTATATCGGACGGTGACAGCGAGGGAGCTGGCGGTCGCGCTCGTCGTCTTAATGCGCTGCGTGAGTTAGCGCGCCGTCTGCAGGCGGCCTTAGCTCCTAACTCGCCCGCGCACAAGGCTATTGCTAAGGTGAGTTTTTTTCTTTTTTTTTATTATAGTAGAACTAGACTACATACATATATGTTGCTACATCTCATCCTCGTTGCCACTGGGAAATGTGTATTAATTCCCTGTATTACAAGGAATATTTGAGAACAAAGGAATGACGTTTTTCTATTACTCAATGTAATAATGGACAAAGACAATTTAACAACAATGTTGCCAAGCCTATCTGTCTATGGGAGTCTCCAACATTAATTAATTATCTTATAGAATTAAGGAAGTGTGCATCCCCGTACTTCATTCCGTAAGTTCCGCATCACCAAGAGGCATGCTGTTTGTTTTTTGTAAAAGAGAAAAACAAGAAAAGTAAATAACAAATAAAAATATTCATTTCAGCGTATGGAACAAACTGAAAACGAAGTTCGTATATTGCAAGAATCCTGTCGCGCGTTGGTGGAGCAAAGCATTCCTGACCTGAAGATTGACGATGACACGTAAGTTGTATTAATTGCTTTAATGACTCTTTTAATAATAACAGGCTATACCGGGCTACGAAAAACAGACTTACATCACATTATTAAAATTAAATCAAAAACTACAGGTCTGATTTTGATTAAATTACATATGGGACAAAAAGCAAAAGCTTTCAACTAAAAATAGAACTATCAAAATGGGTTCACATAGAAAAAAGTTGCCATATATGTAAAATATAAAGTCAAAGTCAAAATGAACCTCCTCTTTCTTGAAGTTTATTGAAAAATATTAAATTATTATAAGAAAAATGGTCTTGACAGGAGTAGGTTAAATACGTTCGTACCACGTTAAATATCCATCTAATGAAATGTCAGAGTCATTGCATTCGCCACGATGTCCAATAGTTGACGAAGTCTACTAGGCTACTAAATCTAGTATAGTAATAAAGGTCGTAAATGTATATTTAGTAATTATAACTTGCAGCTTCATCCCATCTCGGCTTTGCATGGGTGCATTACAAATGTCTCGGCTTGTTCTATAACATTTGAACCTTCCCCTTAAATCTTCTTCCACTCTTCCACTCTATCTACAGCTGAAAACTATTAAAATCCATTGCGAAATATGCAGGTAAGCGACCAAACAGCGATGGCACTTTATTTTATAAATGTCTAGTTGTGCCTTATGTGTTATTCTGATGTATAACCTATATTACTGTAAAGTTTCATTAAAATCCGTTCAGTAATTTTTGCGTGAAAAAGTAACAAACATCCATCCATACTCACAAACTTTCGCGTTTATAATATTATTATAAATGCGAAATATAATTAACGTTTGAAATAAGATAATTAACATTTTTATTTTCACAGCAGGGACCGCAAAGTGAGTACTGTGTCTGGGAACAAAACGGGAGCTGGGGATCCGGACTACACTCCCCGAGGAGGATGGGTGTGGCGTGTTCTTCGATCCTCACTGCCCATACAACTATGTCTCGTAGCGTTGTTGCTGGCCGCATGGCTGGTCGAGAGGCCAAGGTGTTGCGATGCCTTGAACTCTCTCGCTCAAACCCTCACCCCTCAGCTCCGCTATGTCCGAGGACCACCACCAGTCTGAACGCGTCTACACATAGATCGCGTATTTTAAAATGAAAATAGCTATGTATATAGCTATTCATAAGGTTGACTTTTGAATAATACTTCAAAAAAGTCAAACTCCCTAGATCTGAACAAGATTATTGTCAAATCGCAACAGCACGTTACGAGCGATATGGTAATTGCGTTATTGATTTTAATGAATGATTGACGTATGGTTGACTTGGAAATGGGACTACCTGAGCTCATAATATTATATAACATGTTTTATTATTCGGTTTTGGAGACTACATGAAAGTATACTTCTAGTATACACGGATAATGAGAGTGAAAATGCATAGGCATTGTATTATATTATTTCACTAACCCTTGAATTGACGTAAATCCAGTTACGACTGTAATTCATGTAAGTGACGGTGACGAGGTGAAACAACTAACTTATTACAAAATAAGTAGAAAAAGGAAATAAAAAATAATAATAAATAAAGTGATTTGATTTAATTTTAATGAGAATGTCTGCTTGAGGAAACGAATATGACTTAACTATATGTTAGTAAAACTAAACTATTATAATGAAATAAAACATAATCGAATATGGTTTAATATCAGCATTTTATTATTAGATACCCTCTTATTGCTCACAGCAAATAAAGTTCAAATAAACAAAAGTGTTCTAAAAACTAATCATCTGTATCAGATGAAGTGCAAAGTAGTTAGTATGCATTATTTAGTATTAATTAATGTACTAACATTGACAAACAATAAGTTTGCGCGTAGAATAGTAGCATGCCTATTTTAGTACAAGTATTTAATAGGTAAAGGAGATGAGAGTGCGCTGAGTATGTGAGATGTCCTTATAATACCTCGTATATTTTTAGTTCAACTATACCTGATAAATGGGATTTTATTATACTTTATTTGAAGCTTGAATTTGCATTGCATGCATTGTGCCGTATATAAAGGTTGTAGAAAATGTGAATAAGGTATTCTGTAATAATCAAAATTAACTAATTAAATTAGTTTTTTCTACATACATTATAAAATTCAGAAACGTAATGAAATCAGCGAATATGCAATCCGGATTTATTACTGATCAAGTTAATTTACTAGTATTATTATACATTTTATATCTATGTATCTTCGACGTGTATAGAGAATGCCTTCACCATCGAGAAAATTGTCGAGACTAAAGTTGTCTTCCAGTAATTATGACACAAAAAAACGAAGAACCTACGATTATCTCAATTTTATGAATATGAGTTATTTAGTTCTCCGTCTATGCCGATGATATATAAGTGTTTAAAGTATATTTTTGAAATTATACAACTTTGGAAGCTCCACTTTTTGACCTAAATATCTTAGTAGTCACTTATTAGTATGTAAATCTATCTATCTATCTATATATCATTTTGATATCGAAACTAGAATTTCCAAATAGTTCCATACACTTTTGTGGCCTTATGATTACTATCAAAGACTGATAAATTAGCGAAGGTATTCCAACTTAACTAACAACTCCTAAAACTTAGTGTAACTTTGATGTCTTTATACTGAATTTGCCAAATAATTAATAAGATTTTAATTCAAAATATTTTTTATTACCATAATTATATATTTTTTATTAAATCGTATTTACAAACTGTATCCAAATATCATTGAAAATGAATGTAATATTGTTATAATTGTGTTATTTGTTGATATTATATTTATGTTAATATTTAAATATTATTATTTTGAATTGTATACCACGAATCCACAAATTCTAAATATATATATGAAATTGTATTTTTAATTTTCCAATAATAAACTGATCTGTTCCCACTATGTACCTATATTTAATATTTGTTTATGATCGATCACGCTTAAAATTAAAGTTCTATATTAATTTTTACTATATTGACTTAATATCACCTAAAAAAATGTGTTCAGTTAATTCAACTAACATAATTATATTGTTATAGATATCGATCGTTTTTGTATCGATTGCTCAAATAACCACCTTCTTAGACAAATTTCATTATTAGAAATATCAATTCTAATAGTAGTTGTGTTTAAAATACATTTACTATGCTATACTTTTTAGATTGACCGACTTGTAAGAAGATTAATTAAAAAATGTTGAAGGGTCATCATCGATTAGCAAAACACGCAATTTAGTACATTCCCAATATATAAATCAATATATGCACTTTCGTAGTCTGTATTGATTTACCACGAACATTTATAATTTACGACGATTTAAATTTTATATAGTAACCAATTTTAAATCTTGTTGTTCGTAGATCCTCCTTTAAAATGAATATTTTGTAAAGTAGTAAAAATAATATTTGAAATGTAATTGAATAGTCATATGACAATATTCTGGTACATTCGATAATCTAGAATAATGAATTTAATGACTGGATTACAATTACTGCGTAAGTGAGAAAATGTTATTACACTATTTTAAAAAAGTAAAATTTTAAATTGTGAACACAATTTATTAATCCTATCAAATACAGTAAATGTGTGAAAGCACAGTAACTTAAAACTGCCTTAATGTATGTTTGTAGTGTGTGGCGCATTCTATTTATGAATGTAATAATTTAGTAAATAAGCTTTCCCTGTGGTTAATTAAAGTTTCTTTTAGAATTATTAAGTTTCCAATGTTTCGGAACTGTTTTTTTATAACCACAGCGAAAGTATCTAGTACATTCTATAACTTGATGTAAGGCAGTTGATGCCTATGTAGTGTGTCATATTTCTTTTAATTTTAATACATAGTTTTAACTAGTTAATTGAAAGAATATAGACATGCTATTAATGTGCATTTAATTTTTCTCTTTGCGAAGATCGTAAGTATAATGTAATTGATTGCATAGTGGCATGTTGGCTTTTTGGAATGGAAATAAAATTTGAATTTACAAAATATTTTTCTTTTATTTATACCTAATATTTTATTTTATGTACCTACTTCTATAATGTAGATTTTACTAAAGCAAATATAGGTACTTATATATCCATTCATATTCAAAAAACCTTAGATTGCAGTTTTGTTGAATATGAATAGGAGTGGGCTTATGCTTTTTTTGAGTCCTTGAAGAATCGTTATATGTACCTGGGTTATTGTTTTGGGTAACCACATACTTATACCACACAACAGAGATTCTCAGCTCTGAAAATTATACAGTATAAATGTAGGAAATATTAAGTCTGTGGTTTTTCACTGTATATTTATGATTTCTATACCTTACTGAAAATCGCGCGTATCCAATTCGTACTGTTATTTAATATGCTTTTAGTAAATATAGTATAAAATATTTTAAGTTTTAGGTACGGACAATCAAAGCTCCTGTATTCAGGTGGAATAGTAGGCACTAAACCAAAAATAAAGATCTACAGTTGGTGGGTGTTATAGATTTCCGTATATTACTTAATATGTGGATGAAATAGAACCACTGTATTACTTTATTCGATTTCAGTTCTTGTTTAGGAAATTTATGTAATCTGTTATCTTAGTTTGAACTGTGCTTACTAGATGGCGTTGTATACATTGAAATGGCGTTTTTCAAAAAACTGTATTTTAATATAATAAATATGTTCCTGACACGCAGGCCCATTATGGTCCTTGTGTGAAGTTGTGTCGGCTGTATACCCTTTATCAAGGAACCCTTTAATCTAATTTTAAAATAATTTGTTTCACCAGAAGTTCGCAGTTTGCCCAACAAAATTAAACAAACACCAATTTCCTTTTCCTATAGAGAGTTGCCAGATAGTTAGAAGTTGTTAAATGCTCTTATCGTTCTCGCAAAAAACAGTTTATATTTCTTTAGTGTATCTATTGCATAACAAAGTCGATCAACGTATATAACTAATAATAATTAGTTAGATTTTTAAATACAACTATGTATGTGGTTATAGAAGCAAATTGTCTCAATATGCGATATTTTTAACTTCTTTTCATTACGCAAAATGTTTTAAGGTTGGCAACCCCGACAGAAACTGCCAATTTCTACCATCTATATCCGGTTTGTATGTGATTTGCGAGTGCACGTGTACATGATCCTTGAGTTACAATTGCAATTACATTTTAAGTCGTTGTTTTATTTTAAAAGTGTAATATTTTATCATTGACTAAATTGCTAAATCAACTACAATTACCTGTTGTTTCTACATAACGTAAGTTTTTTACATTGATTACAGTTACAAATCACCCACCCGGGCTTCTGTGACGCCATGTTGTGAAGCCGTCTACTTTCAATTTACCAGCGTAATATTTGTTATCATTTTTAGAATTATGCCAGGCACTACAGATAACCTTAATTAATATTTATTAATTTACGGTAAGAAATCGGACGATTTATTAATTTTTTTATCGGTAAACTAGCGCGCCTGTGCCATCTTTTGCATGTTTTTATCTGTACTATTTGTAATCGTAGACTGAATCTACTAGTGAAAGAAAGTACTAGAGGTATTACGTAAATTGGTGTAATGTACTTATTCGTTGTATTTATATATATTAATATAATTTCTGGTTGTGTTGTGAATTACAAAAATGTCTTAAAACCGACGCGATAATAGATACTCCCGTGTTTTGGCAGAGGCCTTGCGACGTAATTGATCAAAGCAAAATTAATGTGCACCTAGCTGTTAAACTGTATAATCAATACATTAGTAAGTTGCAGTTTGCATAAAGTACAAAATTATTATATATGTACTTGACTGAATTATTGTTTGTTCAAAGAAAGATTGAGAAATATGGACAGGGACGCTCTTTTAAATCCACACGTGGTAAATTCGAAATTTGTATGTACTCATTTGATATTTATGTCAGATATCTACTATTTATCCTACAATTGTATAAAATAACTTCTAATTTGTAATAATCGAACGATATTTACATATGTATATTTTATAATTTTCAATTGATATCAAAGTATATCTGTTAAAAATAATTCTCATCTCTATATAAGGTACATTCAGCATAGTTTTGTAGCTTCTGGTATATTCTAAATTAAGTCAGCAGATGCACATTAATATTATCAATACAATCATTTAATCAAAGTTATTTCCAATCCACTATTACTGAACAATAATAAACTAGGTATATGCATTTAGCCAAAGAAGTGTGATTGCCAATGAGACTCTAGAGGTCTAAAATTTTAATAATGAAATTTATAAAATGCAACATATTGAGTTAGGGTGTTTAGGTGTACTTTAACTTCTTTTTGTTATACATTTAATGATGATACTATATTTTTACCATCTTTCGGGGCAGAAAGCTCATGTTGATAAATATTTTACTGAGTACCTTTGAATATATCTGCTGTAACACTTTTACCAAACTATTCCTACTATTTATAACTGACTACATTTTTCAGAAAATGGTGGGTTCTCGTGTCTATGTAGGTGGACTGCCATTTGGTGTGAGAGACAGAGACTTGGAAAAGTTTTTCAAAGGCTTTGGCAGAATTAGAGACATCCTTATCAAGAATGGCTATGGTTTTGTGGTGAGTCACTCGATACTTCGTCATCTGTTTCCCACATTATTTAAAATGTGTAATTGGTAATGCTGTATATTGGTATATTGCTACCTTTTAGAAATTTAAAATTGAAAGTCACTTAGTTAATTAGAAGTTATTTCTACAAAGAATTGTAAGCAAGTAATATGCTTTTTTATGATTCCTTTTAGGAATTTTAAGTTCTAATTATTTAAGTTATTCTATGCATCTTTAACTCAAATAATTATCATATAATATGGTGCTTAATATGTCCCTTGCCTTCTTGCATGTATTATGTAGGGATCTATAATTTGTTTTCAAAATATAGCCCATATTGATTACCAGTATTATGCCATAGCTTTATTTTATGTAGTTTTATTTGTTGGTAAAAATATTTTTGTAATTGTTAAATTATATTTTAGTTCTACTTTTTAGTAATGAATAATTACAAATGTAAAAATGAAATTAGCTCTGGAATATTAGTTTATATTAATTGTTTAATTATATTTTACAGGAGTTTGAAGATTACCGAGATGCAGATGATGCGGTATATGAACTAAATGGCAAAGAGCTACTTGGGGAGAGGTAAGAAAACTTTAACTATTGTAATGACTAAGTTTAGTCCTCAGGAATGGTAAGAGTAAGTATACCATGGGCTTCACACCAAGAGATGTCTGTTTATTTACATTGTTGACAATTACCTGTTACCATTAGGTGAGTTGTCAACTTGTTTACCAATTACGAAAAAAAAAAAACAAATATATATTCAACAATAATAATATCCCACTACAATTCACACAACCCAAACTAAATAGAGCTTGTGTTATGTGTACTAGACAACTCATATAAATACTTAGATATTTTTTTTAAATACATACTATACATAATCATACTCATAAATACAAATGTTTGTACCGTGCGAGGAATAGAACCAGCGACCTTCGGAAGTAAAGTGGTGTACTAAACTGCTATATCACAGAGGTCGTCAGTAATTATCATACAATTTTTAAAATAATATTTTCAATAATATTGTGAATTTCAATCGTGAAAGTGCTAATTCATAATTAAAATTATACAAATATGTTTAACAATTTACTAATTCATTTTCTTTATCAGCCGGCTCCACATTTGTGTGAGACTTGTATGAAGGACTGATATATGAAATATATTTATGAATGTCATATCTGAACATTTGAAAGATTGGTGCCAGTGTGTTTGAGATAATTTTATGTGATATTTTTATTTTTCATGTTCTGTTTAATATATGTATCAAATAAATTGTTATTATCAATAGCACGAATGTCGGTGTGTGATGTAACGCTGAATTTGAATGTTACTCCATTATAATTGGTCTAAAATTTCTATTCATTTCATCGAACACTTTATCGATTGGTATCAAGTAGTGTTAATAGGGAAGTAAGTGGCATTGGTAAATTTTATACATATTCCATCTCATCAGTGAATAATAATTAATTGCTAACAAGGAATTACTTATTTAGTAGTAATATATTTCTTAATAAGAAATAAGTATATATTTCATGATAAGAATTTTATGTTACTTTCATTTAAGTTAAAAGGTATTTACCTTTTAACTTAAATGAAAGTAACATAAAACATTTCAGCAGCTAATATCAGTTGTTAGATATTTGTAATTTTTATGTACGAATTGTTACAATGTTCAAATATTTGCAAAAGGCATTTCATCCACTTTTCAAGGTTCTGAACCAAATACTGTTTTCAATGGTCAGTCTGTAGCAATGCTATATTCCAAAAACTATCAGAGCTATTGATTAGTTTTATAAAGAACTATTCGCCAAATATTATTAAACTTAATTTTTACTTTTTGTTTATCAAAATACAGTTAGTTGAAAAGGTCAAAGACGATAACTAGTGATAGGATATATGTAACTGAAGTCTATTCCATGTATGAGTAAGAACTCTGTCAGTGATTATATATGCTACCAATCGGCAAAGTGTCTTCGATCGCATAATGGAGTGTGAATCGGTGAGGGCGCGCGAGGGTGGCAGTGCTAACAGTACCGACGGGTGTGCCGCAGGGTGGTGGTGGAGCCGGCGAGAGGCATCGACCGCAGCGCCGACCGTTACCGCCGCGACCGCTACTACGAACGCGACCGCGGCCGGTCGCGATACGAGTGAGTGTCGCTATGTTGTAGGGTGTCGGTGGAGCGCGCCCGCGGCATGCCGCGCGGCTCCGACCGCTGGCGGAGCCGCGACCTGCCGCCGCCGCCGCCCCGACGACCGCCGCCGAGACGAGAACCGTCTGTATCTTAGCTCTCCTCTATATGCAAACACGTGTTCATGATAACCATCCTCTAGTATTATGATTATGTCGATGATAGCCGGGCTTTATTTTAGCAAACAACACTTGTTGACAGTAGCTGGACTGCAGCAAACAGATGTTGATGATAGCTGGACTCCTGTAAATACATGATGATGGTAGTCGCGCTTCAGGACAACATTTGAGAACGGAGGACTTACCACGACCAATTGTCTCTATAACATTTCATGTTGATTAGCCTTATGTAACGAGGTAGATTGTATAAAGTCGTGACGTGGGGTACCTCTAACTCTTAGATTTTAGCCGCCAAGCAGCTTTCTGTGTAAGCTATGTTTCTGTAGATGGATGGGAGATATGTCAGTAAAAATACAGGGGCCGTATTATGAACTCTTATTCCCATTCAGTTTACGGCTTAAACTGAACTGCCTGGCGATTTCGTATTACGAACGCTATTAGCCAGCCAGTCAGCGGTCACGTGACAGCTGAACGTCTTCTGCCCGAAAACTGACCGGCTATTTCGTATTATGAGCGTTTCATTTGACAGATCTAAGCGGACGCAACTGTCAAAAAGACCGTTTAAAAACAATTCAGTTTACGGTGGCTTCATATTAGCTTTTATAGAATTGTTTTCTAATTTATAGCTTCATTATTGTAATTTGGTTATTATTTCTATTTCTATGTCAGTTTTTATTATGTTTAAAACATGTTTGTGCAGTTATTTCGATTGTTTTTGTTTCGTTTTAATTTTAATTATGTGTGATGAACTCGAAGTATTGGAGTTTTTGGAAATGTGTGCACCCTACGAAAAAGAAGTAAGGAAAGTGAAAAGACGGTGATTACGCGACCAATCCAATCAAAATGAACAATTTAGAAAACGTTATAATCTAAATAAAGATTTGGTGCGTAATATGCGTGCGAACTCATATGCCGGTATCATCGAAATTTACAGACCTACCAGTGGAAACTAAGGTATAATGTATTGTAATTATTTCACTAAATCACTAGCTGACTATGTCAGGTTTTAGTAGGATTATTATTTATGCTACAGGCATATTTATCAACGGCCTATTAGTGATATTGCTGTTCATTCTTTAGTACAGCCAATGGCAAATAACCGATTTATTGCATTTACCCAACATCCAAAAGTAAATACATATATAAAATTCCAAGGACATCTGAGTAAAGGATAGATAATAAATATTCAAAGGTATCTATTTCTATACAATTAGCAAATCTATGAGTACCATGTAACATACCATATGATATAGTGATAATATATATGGTAAAATGTATGCATACAAGTAAAGCCTAGAAAGCAAGTATACAAGTATACAACAGTCTGATGATGTGCAGTCTCTCCGGCACTTTCCTCCGAGGACAATTAATTAAATTAAATTAATTATATTTTAGGTTTTATAATTGGAATTTGGAATGCTGGGTGTATTGGGCTGTATTTGACTGTACACATGCCACCCCATTGTAAATTAAGAAGAGATATTACTGTAGAAAACAATACCATTCATTAAATATATAATTGGTAAGTGAAATATAAATTAAAAGACATGTTTAATAATATAAGCACTTTTAATATCTTTTTTTAATATAATTATATACATTAACAATAAACAAGATTTTAGACATGCAAAATATGTTAATGATTATACATCTCTAAAGCTACTTATATACTAACAATAAATTGTTTACTTAAATATTAAATGACCATAACACTTAGACATATGTTTCAAATAATATTTATCCATTAATTATTCTCTTATGTTTCAAATAATCTTCATCTATGTAATTAATCTGGAAAAAAAATTTAGGTTAGTAATGCTGACATGGAGATTATAAGTGTGGATGCCAACTGGAACTGGAGCTACTCATGACATTTGGGCAAAGCAGAGGCATTAGGCAACATCTAGAGGACTTAAGCTGGAATAAATCCTTATGATTACTTGGTAAGCACAAAATTTTATTATGAAACTATAAACATCATTAAATCTAAGCTCTAAACTTCAGTAATTTAGAAACATAGTTATTTATCAGCACCAACAGTTATTGTGCTGTGTTTTTAATGAAATAATACTTTTTGTAAATAAATATTAATATTATAGTATATAATATGTTGTTTTTTTTTTAGGAGATCCAGGATATGCTTTGGAGAAGTATACTCCCATCTCAAATGTTATATCAGGACCACAAGAAGCATATTACACTGTAAGAACATGGAATATCATTGAGAGCACAATTGGGCTTCTAGATTTAGATGCCTACATGTACTTTGAGCTCTTATAGATAACTAAATGAAGGTCTAGCTGCTAGACAAACCCATGTTGTTTAGTTATGGAACTAAGAAATTGAAACATTTATAAATAATAATATTGTTAATAGCTCAATGTTTTAATTATTTGTTTTTATAATAAATGATATAGGTACATTATTTATGTCTTTTATTGGTAGTTATAATTAAAGGGATATGATAATTTTATTATATACTAGTAATACCTATGACTTTGTCCATATGGCATACCTAGTTTTTGTTAAAATAAATAAAATATCTCAAATAAAAGCAACTTGTTACTCCTTTACACAACTCATTACATATGACAGTGAAAGTATCCCTCAAATTTGGCCCAGCTGTTTCAAAGATTAGCAAGAACAAACAAATGGACAGACAACTATTTTTTTTTAATGTCATTTATCTTACCTTCTATATGTATGCATTTACTGAAAAGCTGTTGTATGGTGAACTTCAAAATTACAAACAGATACTTCAATTTATTTGCATAGATACATGTATTTCAGATTTTACTGAGATTCCTATTAAATGAAATAAATTAAAATTCAGATGGTTACCTTATAACACTTAAACTTGACAATCCTTTCCAGTCTTTAAAACCCCTAAGGAGTGTAATTGTTGAGCGACGTCCTCACACAAGCGATTGGTATGGTATTCTTGGGCGGACTTATTAAAGCCACTTGCCATTTCCCTATGGGATTTTAAAAATCCCATATAATTTCAAATTACCGGTACGATACACGACGTAGGCGAGAGGTTTCAGTCCGTGATCTACAATTTAGTTAGATAAATATACAAATATAAACATTTAAATATTTGCATCATTTTAAAAAAACATTACTAAGAAAATGTTAGGAATACTTACGTTACATTAGGTATATTTTTCACAACAATTGAATTATTAAATTTAACTTGCGTATAAAGTCATGGAAAGGCTAAGTTTCAAATTGTACATTAAAATCAGAATTAAGTACTTTGCGCGGAATTTTAAGTAGATGCACAAAGTTCGTTTGGATATTATAATGAAAATATTTTTTACAAATAAATCCGAATTATTAAAAAAGACAATAAAACTGTCTGGAATATTTTTGTATATTACACAAATTCTACCATTGTATCTTAATTACTGTTTTCTATATTTAATTTACATTTATTTAATTAATATTTTGTCCAAAAAGTGACACACAAAAACTCAACTTAACGTTGCAACGAATGTATGCGTATCCGAACGCAGCGCGAGAAAATCCACTAACCAGCCAGAGACAAACTATCCAGGCAGAATACGGTTTGAATTTGGACCCTCATAATACGAAAAAGAACAATTCAGTTTAAGGCCGTAAACTGAACTGCCTGGAAACTGACTGGATTTTAAAGAGTTCATAATACGCCCCCAGGTTACGGAAGTACCTTTGTCCATCGGAATGGCAATGTATAAGCGGTACTATGGGCGTCGCATGGTCATATCTGTGGTGCTATTTATATATGTAGACGATGGTTACCATATACATCAAGTGGGCTGTCATCTTATTTACCATTCCAATTTCATGTAAATCTTGTGTTTTTCACTGTGATCAGTTCAGTCATTCAGGCTTATCCAGTGTTGCTTCGCATAGAAGCGAGCGAAATCATTCTGATTATTTTATGGCTTCCTAGTAGCACATGACTATATGGAAGATCATAGAGGCTATTGGTGATGGTTAGTCCTCTGCCTCAAATGTTACTACATCAATAGGAATAAACTAATTCTATTTCAATAGTTAATGAATAGGGTAAATAAAAAAAAACAAATTATTTAATTAATAATTGTTCATTAGTGCCATACGCTACTATGATTGTTAACGGTTATATTATTCATTTTAAAGTTATTCTCAGTTGTTACTACTGTATTGAAGGAATCTCTTAAACTTGTTAAGTGTGACATATAATGAAACTCGGTATTAGTGATATTGTTAACGTGATAATAAAAAAGTGCAGTCAACATACAAATAGTGATATTATATTGCATTTGTTAGACGCAACAATATACCAGAGTTATTAGATATCAAATATTCTTTAATACACTTAAAGTTATCAGCGAACTTCGATAGCCTAGATTAGATGTTTATCTATAATCTAAAGCAGTCTATAAAATATGGCATAACAACTACATCTTGCCTAAGTTCATCTGTACTACCTAGTATCATTTAAATGATGAAAAATCTTTTAAATAAGTTCCGGAAGGTTTTCTGAACCTTACCCTCTACATACACAGATTGTAATTTTATTTTTTAATATTTGTTTTATGACTGGCTACTGTATTTACTATACTATATAGTTGATATAAAAATAAAACAGTGTTTAGATATCAGTGAGTTCGTATAATATAAAAATAAATACATAGTAATAACTGGAACTATATTTCTATTTCAATAAAATGCGTAAATATTACTTTTTTTCATCGATATAACATTGTTTTTGCATATAATATTGGCTACAGTTTGTGCGCGTCGCACAGTTTTCGTACTTATTGTGTGCATATTATTTTGTCGTGTGTAAAACTTGTTCTATGCTTGATTTATTTCACAGCACTTCATTTTTTCCTTCTTAGTCATCCTTAGTACCTTCACTAGTAAAATTTTTTTTTTTTTCTGCATTTATATTTTATTTTATATCATGCCAGTTGTATGTAAACCCTGTAATCGCAGTTGATTATTCATAACAGTAGATAAACTATTCACGCACTAGTGTTGATGTTTATCATTCTCACAATGTTTAATCGATCCTATTTGTTTGGTTGATTTTTTTTGCTTGACTAATAAATTACAATTCTGCTAATTTTACACCGAGGGCCTTAAAAATTAGGATGTTTCTGGTCATATTTAAATATAGTCATGTTTCGTGGTTTTTGTATATATGTACTACCAACAAATTTATTCTACATATCTATAGATATGTAGAATGAATTTGAAAATAGAAGAATACAGAAACGAAATACGACAGAACAGAACAGAAACGAATAGAAATATACAGAAGAACGACTCCTTTCTAAAGCCAGAAACCTTAATGTTATTATAAACATGGTTAAAGTATATTTATTAAGTAAATGGCAGCCTATCTAACCTTATATATTAGTACCATGTTCCTGGTGAACTATCATGGTAACTGGTTACAATAATTAATTTAAGAAAGTGTGTATACATATCTTTACTTAGAAATAAGTTTATTTTAATGTGTAATAATGAAAATAATAATCCATTTATCGCAAATACTTTGTGAAAGATAAATTTATTATTATTTTGTATTGACAGTGACTACAATTATAGATACGGGCCGCCCACGCGCACCGAGTACCGACTCATCGTCGAAAATCTGTCTAGCCGCATTAGCTGGCAGGTAAGAAACTGAATGGGACAACTTGGGTACATCATCATCCCATCAACAATCACCCAGGGTACCGGACACTACACGGTTACATTTGGGCTGGGCAGAGCATCACCTTCCACCAGGGCACGGTCGGTTCAGGATGTCAGAGGTCGGGCATTGCGGTCGAATGGTCGGACGAACATTTGTCGTGGGTCGAAGATGACGTTACAAGATGATTGGAACAGAACAAACAATCGGAGACTTGAAGATCGATACAAGAAGTACATAGAAAGCACTGGTCAAATGAAAAAAATCCTTCCAATGTGGACCAACCAATGAGAGAACCATTGTGAGAGTTGGAAATATCGAGCTGGGAACGTTCAGGCTGTTTACAATGACAATAAGGACAATGCGTCAAGTAACACGGATTCGAGGAGGCCCCAGACATCTCGTTCACTTTACTAATAAACATCACAGCAATCATTGTACAAATGTTAGTCTTCACTTTGTTTGTAATTTAGTATAACAGTACTTCCCTTGAATTGTTAAACAGCATACATTCAAGTATTCCATTAAATGACTAATTACTCTAAATACTTTTAAAAGTCTAATACAAACACACGAGCTTATTATAGAAATAATTTTTAAAAACAACAGAAGGTGGCGTTTCGTGCCCTGAGCCCTCGATGTAGCGCAGTGTGAGATGTGGTCTGAGCCGATGTTAGGAGGTTATGGGTCCGCCGCAGCCGTCGCCGCTGGAGGGGCCGCAGCCGCCGCCCCCCTTCGCCCCCCCTCGGCCCCCTTCGCCCCCGGCGGCAGGTAAACCCGCACCAGGGGGGCACACACAACAGGACCGTTCTCGTTATGTGCAATCTCCCATTTTTATTCATTTCTATCATCGTTACATTTTAAGTTCACATTATTCATAATAGTGGCGCTCTCTTAAACGAAGCAGCCGGCTATTGTGAATATTCATAATTCAAATTATTTCGTCAATTATGTTAGTACAACTGGCTCGAACAGCTTTTCGAATTTGGTGATTCCTTTATGGTATCATTGTTTACAATGTTTGGGAGGACCGGTTGGCTGGCAATGTGTTGTCCGAGGAAGATGTCAGTTTCGAGGAGTTCCCGAATTTATACAAGGAAGGAAGGATGACAAGGATGGACTGATGAAGGAAGGATGGATGGATGGCGGACTACCAAACACGGAGCACCAATAAAGTACTGAATAAATAATGGAAGGATATAAAATTTACGGAGAATATATCACAGAGGTGGAGTCTATGCATTTTAAGACAGAACGCAATCATTATGTACGGAAGGATGATCCGGAGAGATACTGAAGCAATTTAAGAGAACACATAAAACAGAGACCTAGTAAAAGTGCAGTCTTCAGATATCCAGAACAGCTCGATGATACCTACACTGTACCAGGCAGTGTTCATATCCAGAAGTCATGATTGGCACACGAGGGTGGACATAAGATATGGACATATAGAAACCTAACACTATCTGAATGAGGCTATAATAACAAGCTATATGAAGATCTAAAACCCACTATCGATTGTTCTTGTAAACAATGATAACCAATAGGTAACTGTTTACGAAATGATGTTCGTAGCATCTTTTTATTTTATTTTTTAACATTAGGTCCTAATCTTGATTCAAGTTGAATAAATAGGCTTCATCGTTAGGACATTAGGATTCTAATATCACCAACAACTTTTCCCAAAGTCTTACCTAATGATGATATATTTTTTTACCATCTTTCGGGGCTGAGTACCTTGATGCTACAACATTATTCTGATGAAGACTTTTGGAAAAGGTAACACGAAGTTCAGTTAGCAGTAGTATTAACATGATACATTGATTTTACAGGACTTGAAGGATTACATGCGTCAGGCTGGGGAAGTGACGTATGCCGACGCCCACAAACAGCATAGAAATGAAGGGTGAGTTTTGTTTTGAATAGCCTTCGATATCCTTCCGTTGGTCGCAGAGTAGAGTGCTCGCACGTTATTTTTGATTTAAATGCGAGATAATGAAATGGTACATTCGCCTGCGCTAACAGTTTACGCTGGCGGGGCGCCAGTGGAGCTTAAGATGAATATGAGATGAGGCCAGTCTGCCTGTGGCAAATTAATCAGGAATTTTTGTGATAGTTTCCAGGTGAAACCAGGTCTTGTCAGTTTGTTCCTGATAAGTACATTGCAGCAGATAATTCGTATTGTTTTATGGGTGATAATCAAATTATGCACACTTATACGCAAACGGTTTAAGTTGGCCCGCCAACACTAATTGAGGGTGATAAAATGAGTATGAAGTCAAGTTAGTTAGTTCATCCTGGCAAATAGCAATTTACCATGATAGTTTCCTTTGAATATTTGCAGTGTGGTCGAGTTTGCCACGCACTCTGACATGCGGGCCGCTATCGAGAAGCTGGACGGAACTGAGCTCAACGGACGCCGGATAAGATTAGTGGAGGACCGCCGTTCTTCTCGCCGCCGTACTCGCTCTTCCTCCAGTCGCTCGCGTAGCCGTTCGCGTGATCGTCGTCGCAGCCGTTCCAGGTGACTTTTTTACCTATATATACGGCCAAATGCGGAGAATAGTCTAATGGCTGTTTACTTATAAAAATAACAAAATTTACTTTTTTGTTTCTAACCAAGCTTATCAATTTCATAAATCGCACCGATAATTTAATAGTATAAACTTGCAATTAAGATTTCTGAAGTTGGTATTATTGACATTACACATGTCGCATGGCATAACGTCGCATCGGTGATGCATTATGTATGTAATTATACGAAATACTGAACTGTATGCTTTTGGGTAAAGTTTAACGAAGTATGACTGACATCTAAAAAATATTAAAATATACGATTTCGTTAAAATAAGTAACAAAAAAAGCACCTGCTTTTGGGTACATATTTAATGATGATACTATATTTTTTACCATCTTTCGGGGCAGAAAGCTCATGTTGATAACTATTAAACTGATTACCGTTTAATAGATGCTGTAGCTATGTGTAGTATAATTTTAAGATACTGATACATGTTCATATATTCCGTAGCCGTTCAAGGTCCAAGTCCCGCCCGAAGAGCAAGAGTCCAGCGCCTAAATCACGCTCTCGATCCCGTTCAAAGTGAGTGTTTGTTATATACATTTTATATGCAGACTTTTTTATGACACTAAAAAAAAAGTGAATAAAACTGCTTTATTTATTCCCGTGGTTATTCGCAATGTATTTATTGCAAACCGAAAGCCAATGACAGTTGTTTCTTTTTTTTCTTCTTAAGGTATGTGTGTACTGAATACATGTCCTCAAAAAGAAAAATATATAAAATTTTCTAACTTTCATTCTTATTTTTAAATTTCAATTTTGTTTATAAATGAAAATGGTTTAGCAGTACCTAGCTTTTGCCTGGTATATATATTTGATATATATCCCTTACGACTAATCCACTAATTCTACATATTTTTGTACCGTTTATAATTTGTATCATTAAAAAGTCTGTTAAGATGATTTGACGTTTCTTTATATTTTTTTATTATACTATGCCTGCATGAAGCACTATGAATTATATTCGATGCTACAGCAAGGTTCTATGTCTATAATGTTGCATGACATAAATTAATGTACTGTTCATTTGGTTAGGTGCGTAATTACTTGCGCTGAACAATATTTGAAAATGTAAGTACTTCGCTATAGTACCTACGGCTTCTTATTAATAATGGTTGCTTTTTATCTAGCATCCTGGTTTCTTTATTTTCGCTGCTTGTGTGACGAAGACTAATATAGCTCCACAACATCGTTTCTAATAGAGGATTTACTTACTGTTATTAAATTTGAATGAAACAAAGTGAAGTTGATGTATCTTGTATTCATATTGCATACTGAAAAGTTTAAAATAATATATCTATTTGTTATATATTATATACGCCACGTATTAAACTGTATATAGATTGTGCTTGTATGTAGTGTAGCTATAAATATAAGTCTGTTCAAATTAGTATATTATTATGAATAAGCTATATTTATTGAGTGCTGTCAAAATAGATAATCACTATCGCTGCAGTAGAATCATGAAGTAAAATATGAAATTAATTTAACGTAAAATCTCTAAAGATCACATTAAATTGGAAGCGAATATATTTAAGTTTATAATAAGCTCTATTTTGTACCAGAGACACAGTAGATGGTGTAACTATCTTGACAGTTCTCTAATGTGGCTTAGTGCCAGTAGACATAAACTAAACTCGAAATACAACTATTCTGTTGCGGTATCACGACGCTCAGGGACGCCAGTCGTTCCAAGTCGCGGTCTCGCTCGGCCTCACGTAGATCAGACCGCCGCTCGCAATCCAGGAAGCCTGGCGACCGGAATGGACACCGTTCAGCATCTAGATCCAAGTCCCGTTCGCCGAAAGCAGAGTCCAAGTAAGTAAAACTTGTGCTTTCAATTAACATTTGACAGCCGTGCAAGTTTGCGAGGTTATTTCCCATTAGGAATCACGTAATTAAATTAGTCACCCCACAGAATGGACATGGGTCCAAGTAAATATTGTAATTAACCATGTGAAATTTCTAAATAAACAAATGTTAATAATACGTACATGACATGTTTTTTTTTCATTGGAATTGGGAGGTAACCCTGCAGTGTATTTCAGGCATAGTTGTCAAATATACAATAAAAATACTAAAGTATTTTGGCATTGATTTGTTAACAAAATTCAAACTAATAAGTGATATTGATGGCACAGTTGAAATATGTAATTAACTCGATCCATGTTTTCCTGCATCGCAGAGTGACTGCCATCGCAAGGTGAGCATAGTTTTGCATAGTATATGTATATCCTTAGCTTATCCTTATCCTTACACACATCATTCTTCTTAGTTTTGCTACTACATATTATTATACATGTATATTATTTGCAATTGATTTTGTTTACTTCGTGTGTAAGTGTTTATACTATACGGCAGAATTAAAAAAAATACAATAATATTTGGGTTTTATGAAATGTTTTTTTTTTATAATAATTTATATTTTAATCATGCAACTTATGTTTAAAAATAAGTTGCATATAAAATAAAAACTAAAGTATAATACTAACTAAAATGTAATCATTTAGAAATATTATATAATATACATTATTTAATATTATTATATTAAATAATGTTTTTGGAAATTGACAGCTTAATGAACACGCTAACGCATACAATTAAGTTTTTGTCAAAGTTGATATTTTATATTATGATATATGTATTTAAACGTGTACTGAAGCGAAATTTCGTTCCATACACCAAGAGACTTATGAGTATTCTTTAGGGATTCAATTTTGTATTCTGTTATTGCATTATTCTATTATAATTTATAGTATCAAAGTCTATGTTAACAAATAACTGGTTAACAAAATTTTTATTACAAGTTATATCATTTATAGGGAGAGATCGCGTTCACGTAGCAAGGAGGCATCGCCCAAGCGTGAAGAGGAACGTCGCGCCACCAAGTCCCGCTCCCGGTCCCAATCTCGTTCCCGATCACGTGACCGGTCCGGTTCCCGCGAGCAGTCCGCGTCCCGCTCCCGTTCTCGGTCACCGCGCCAAAATGGCGACGGACACGATCGGGCCAGTACGGACCGCTCCCCCCGTAGTGGGGAATAGGGACTTTAGCGTGTTAGTTTTAAGATATCTGCTAGATTTTATGTCTATAGTTTACATGATCCGACTACGATCGGCTCTCGATCTCTGTCTGGGTCCCATGGACCTAGAAATAATATGAAATGCAGGGCATGATAACGTTAACAAATTCACTAACTGAATACCGGTTTAAAAAAAATGTGGTTGGCAACACTATACGAGTACTTTTAGTACTAACAACATTTTTCATTGTAAATAAATTCAACATGCAACAAAATCACCACACTAATTATTAACTAATAGTTAATAATATTGAACAATCTTTAGTGTATTGTTTAGAATTAGTACTTATTAGGCATACAATCTTATTCATAACTAGCAGGTCAGTAACGTTGCTGAATTTTTAATGTTATTTAAAGCCCTAAATAAAATAAGTATCATTTCCGAGATATCTCTCACCTCAATTTTTTTAAATGCTAATTAAAGAGTTGTAATAATATTTACATAAAAAATAATCTAAGGTGGATATTAAGACTAAAAAGTTTCAGGGGGAATAATGTTATTTTTCAATATAATTAAAACCATGTATTATACCTTGATTTTATTAAAAACTTTTGTTTGTATATTATGAATAATTGAAAAGAATTGTATTTTTATTTTCAAGGTTAAAAACCGGAGATATCTCTGAAATAGATGAAACTTAAATATTTATGTTAGGAAAATTGTGTGATGGTTTTTCATTCGTTTTGTCTATATTTTAAATATAACTTGACCAACATAGTCTTGACTAGTTTTTTTTATTTGAAGATATCGCACGCCTAATAATTAAGCTCGTACTAAACGGACTTAATGGCGTTAATTTTAAAGTCGCTTCTTACCAAAATGTATTAGGTAACGCAGTTTCTTGTTAAACGTGTAGTCTTTAGTTTTACTTACATTTCAGGGTCCATGGCTACTAAATAAGTAGGCTTTCGGTATTCGGAGTCAAGTGTAATATACATCTAAGAATTTTGAAGTTTCATAATGTTTGTCAATCATTTTGTTCATCATTAACGACATATTTTTCGTCGTTCACAATATGACTTGCAGGGTACCTATGTGGCTATCCTAATATAATGATTTGTGAAGTTGAAGTGACATATAGATTCTTCACAATTAAGTTTATTATTATAAACACATACTTTACAGTAAATAAAACAGTCGAAATGAATTTTAAAATGACTAGTTACTTGTGTAATTTAAAAATCGCCGCATTCATGATTTCATACTGTAAAAAAACATTAGAAATTGTTGCGACAACCCTATACAATAGGTATGTGGTATTTTTGTAAATACTGGATTTTGTTACTAATTACCAAATAAATTAATTAAGAAATAAACATAATTTGTTTTTTTTTTTGGATGAAATCACTAAGTTTTGTGTGAAATACCAAAGAACCTTTTGTTCATTCAGTGGGAAGGAGAATATTAAATTACGAATTTGACACACTTTATTCAAATTAATATTCAACCGACTTCGAAAAGGTGAATCTTCTCGGTTACATTTTATTTTTACCAAGTACTGTACTGTGTATATAACGATTTGCTTGAGTATACTTTATTTCATACTACCTACCTATTTTTTCCACCAAGCAACTTGATTTTGAATGCAACTACAATATTTCATTGGGTTGGAAAAATGAATGACAATTATGCATAACGGCGATTAAGGTCTACTCTTGAACTATTAAATAAATAAATAACCCTGGATGCTTAACAACGCCATCTAGTTTCACGGTAAGCAGAGCTTGTGTTATGGATACTAGACAACTGATATAAATACTTAGATATTTTTGTTTTGTAAAACCACAATATATATAGAAAGCACCCAGACCGATACAATCATAATGCAAATGTTTACATCGTGCGATGAATCGTACCCGCGACCAACATCAGTAAAGCCACACCGGTGGACCCCTAGACACCGAGGGCGTCGAAATATATTAATTGCTTGCAGGAATATTAATTACTAAAATAAATTATGTAATCGTCATGTAAATAATTTGTATCTATTAGATACTACATATATGAAACGAATTGATTGATATATAAGTAAAGTGCATTCTCGTACATATACATACAAATGCTACTAAATCTGCGACGAATATTTTTGTTCTTCATACCAGATTGTTAAAGTACTGAATTATATCATGATATAAACATGTAATGTTGAATCAGGCTAGGCTTGATTTTGCTTGTCTATAAGATTAGTAACAGCTATAGTTTTTCATCTTTATTTATAAATATTACCACTAGGTAACGATTACTCGTTTACTTTGTGAACTATAAATTATCATTATTATTAAAAATGGTGCGATGAGTGAAATGAAATTGCATTTATAATCTTTTGTAACAATTGTTTATTAACATTTTATTTCTTGTTGCATCACTGCACATAATTACACATTCGTCACATACACTCGCTGGCAAATTTATCACCGAAACCGCGACCACCGGCGAGCCGCCGCCGCGCCGGCCCGCCCGCGACCGGAGGTGAACTTACATCACTTCAATTGGGATAATACATCTATGGAATTATTACTTCTCTTCTATTGAGGATTACTTTCATTTTTCTTTTAAATTTAAAAAGAATGTGAATATACTAAAAGTACACATAAAGACAGGCAATTTTATTGTACTTTGCCCTAAAATGGACGAAAAGAGAGAATAATCAGAATTGAATTCGCATGCAAAATAAACAATATAAGAAAATAGAAAGATTAAAAATAAGATTTAAAAAGGATATAATATGCTACTTAATGTTAGAAATGGAATGATTTTAATATTTCTTTCAGTATACTCACAGATCTCGACACAAATGCATTCAATTAAAGATTTCTGTAAAATGTGTCCAATAATCAAGAAGACAATTTAGCTTCAGTCAATTGTAAACATAATCAAAAATATAATTAAACAATGATTTCTATATTAAAAATTAAGGAATTCACAATAATTATAAAGATGTAATAAATTAATTAAAAATACTGTCATTTTATTGGCTCTCATAGAATCATATTTTAAGAAAATTTCCTAATTTAAAAATCCTCAAAAAGAAAAATGAAAGAGTTTTACTGTGATCAAATTTTAAGTACAAAATTATTTCACTATTTTAGTACAATTGCTATGGTATGCATTTCTATTTTTCACATAATTTAAACTTACATTTTGTCATCTTACAAAATTAAATACAAGAATTATTATTGATCATCAGTCTATTCATAGTTTGATATAATTTTGTCGATTTACCATTTTTTAATCTACTTTCTAGTACAATAGGCAACATAAGAGGTAACGTCTATCACTTAGCAAATAATATCTACAAGTGTTTCATAAAAGTGTAAGTTAACATAAATTATTTCATAAAAGCGATTCCGCGTCAATTATTCGCAAATTAAAACAGAATGTGCGAATGATCAAAAGCAGGAATCTATATAAACACAACATAACTCGAGAACTGTATCTATTAAAATAAATAAGTTAAAACAACCAGAATGCCCTCTCGTCCTATGTTGCCTAATGTCATTTAATATTGTCACAGTACTCTTACGTAAGTAATGGAGAATATTCTTACAATTCTAAAACTTAATAGTTCTTTATACACAATGACTTAGGTTTCGACAATTTGTTTCTTATAAGTACAGAATTTATTAAAACCTATGGACTAATTACGTGCGTGATGTTTAACATTTTGTGTTTCCGAGCACAATTTGTATCAGGTCCATGCGGGGAACACATCTCGCGATATAGACGCGGTACAAATTGACTCGGCGCAGGAACGTACTTGTTACTGTGCTAATATTCCAAGAGCGGAAACTATATGAAAGAAAAAAATCTATGTTGATTTTTAAGAAAACCTGAACAAGATTTTTTTAATTGAAAATACTTTCACTATAATAAATCATAGGAACAATGACAATAATTAGTCAATCACAAAAAATCAATGTAAAACTGATGAACGCATCATTCGCGTTTTTTATAAATTAGTCTAAAATCTTACTTTACGCACGGTTTGGCTTTTATACTGGTGCGAGTCTAGAGGGATAGTGTTAGTGGCGTGGAATGTTCGCAGACTCGATACTGAGCGTGTTAAATTTCATAGTAAATACAAAGGAGATAAAATCTACTACAACGGCTCATAAAATATCTTGCATCTCTAGATGCGAAATGCGTAACAGTTTACGGCAATTATGTAGAAACTATTGCATGCATTTAATTCTACAATGGAGGTGTATTGTAACGACGTTACGTACACCGGTCGATCGGCATCGAGTCCGCGCCGGCGCCGCGCAGCGGACCGACACTGCGCGCGCCGCCACACCTTACCTACAGAGATCGCAGACAGTGGACGTGGTCCACTTGGCCCCACGGCTCGCGCGGTCCTCGCCCGAAACCCTAACTACAACCGGCGCACGCGCAAAACATTACAGACTCCTCATATCAACTAGTACCACAATGTTATGCGCGCGCGCCTCTTTATCTCTAGATCAGTCTGGCAGTGTCACTTGGGCGACGCTTGCCGATCAGGGGCGGAAAAACGATCCGTTCCGCCGTTTCTATTTACAATGGGGTACGAATCGCCCTCACAAATAAATACATCCGAATTCTTAAAACTAGCCGTCTATACAGGGGTCACTTTACACTTTACGCTATATTTACACGCGGCGCACAGCCTGAATCGCACGAGCGTCCGTTGTGAATAAATAAGTTATTTAACGTCCATTGTCGCGTTTGCGTGCACTACACTTGTGTGGCGAACGTCGGCGGTAGGCAATGGTCGTCTAAAACGTACACCCCTCCGCCTTCTAACGCTCGTTTCACTAGCGACGTATCACTGTGGACAAAAGAAAATAGGTTAATAGGCATCATTTTTGTCATCAGCTTTGTGGGGGTGAATATATTTTGTTGTCTTCGGTGTTATAGCTTGATTAAGTAATGTTTATATCTTCGTGACACGAAAAGTTCCTAAACAATTTTGTTGAATCATGGATTAACATGATAATTATTAGGTTTCATTAATTTCTTTGCAGTGGTTTACAGTAACATATCGCAGTAAAATTGAATGCACATGAAACAGCGACCCAGGCTTATTGAATGAATGTTAAAACTGAGAACGAACAGACATACTATGGTGGTATAAAAAAATAATTTAAATGAACCGCAGCCTAAGAGAGAAATGAAATGGATGTAACAAGAGCGGTACTTATTTAAGTATAAAATATTTTAGCACTCAGTTCTCTCTGGCTATTCCATAAGGAATCTAGTGTGAAGATATATGTATAAGCACATTGTGATACTGACCTATTGGCGCAATACGCTGAGTCGGCGGAGAGCCGCGATAACCTAGGGTCGAGCGCTGCTAATAATCGCGCTGCGCTCTCTGTGTTTAGAGTCTTTCTCTTGCACTCCTCTGCCGCAGCGTTGTGTGCATTTTGGCACTCCGGCACAGGTCCCTCGCATTTCCCCCACGTGTTGCGGATAACGCGTCCGCCGCCGCCTGCATTCGCTGCATTCTGGGCGCGCGCTTCCGCGTCCGCAGCATTCTGGGCTCTTTTCCTTTTCCGCCTTATGCAGGCTACAGCAACACCTGCGATGAGCGCCGCCGTTGGTACCGCCACGGAAAATGCTGCTATTAACGCCACATGACTTCTCGTTAAGTTTTCTTCTTCGGGTGTGTCATCGCCTATTCTTCTTAAGTGTCCCCCGGCAGGTTTGGATACTGCTTCTGCCAATAGAACGGTACACGATTTGCCACCCCAGCCTGGAGAGCAGTTGCAATGATATCCGTCCACCCTGTCTCGACAGGTCCCGCCATTGCGACAAGGAGATGATGCGCACTCGTCTACGTCGATACTGCAATCTTTGCCAGCGAAACCAGGTCGACATCGACATTCGTAATCGTTGTCGAGAACCATACATTCGCCGCCATTAGCACAGGGTTTGGCAAGACACAAGTCGACTCTAGTTTCACATCGTGGTCCGAGGAATCCTGGCGCACATTGACAGCGTTGTCCGTTAACCAAGTCGACGCATGTTCCTCCGTGCTCGCATATAATACCTGTACAGTCGTCTATATCGATTTCGCATCGGTTGCCTCTGTAGCCAAGTTTGCAAGTGCATTTAAACCCATCGCCGGCACGGGCGCATGTTGCTCCATTTCGACATGGATTAGCAGAACATGGATCGGCTTCCACCGCACAGTCTATTCCTGTGTAGCCAGCTGGACATACACATACGTAACCAGAAGGTCGAGGTTCGCAAGTACCACCATTACGGCAAGGTCGATCGGCACAAGTAAGTCTTCGTGTTTCGCAACGTGCTCCCTCATATCCCGATGGACAAGCGCAGGCTAGTTCACCGCCTTCATCTGGAACGCATGCTCCTCCATTTTTGCAAGGTCTTACAGCGCAAGAGTGATGACTTTTCTCACAATCGGGTCCGGTGTATTCTGCTGGACAAACACAGGTGTAACTTCCTTGTCCGGTGTTGTGACACGTCCCTCCATTTCTGCAGGGGCGATGGTTTGTGCAGTAATTTAAGTCTTGATTACAGAACAGGCCACCCCATCCTTCCTCACATATGCAATCCCATGGTCTTGAGCAGGTTCCATGGACGCATCCCGGATGTCGCTCGCATTGATCACAGAGCTCGCCCACCCAGCCCGAATGACATCTGAAATCAAAGGAAAATATTCATCAGTACAAAGAATACGTGATAACAAGGGCTTAAAAAGCGTGTCTTTCTTCACTTAGAGAACAATGAGGAGGATGAATGATGTAGACGCAGAGGGAGGCAACGTTAAGTGTTTAGCACAAAAGTGTGAAGTGGATACTCACATGCATTCGTCGGGCTTGAGGCAGTGGCCATGCTCTGCGTCGCAGCCGGGAAGACATTTCGCTGCAACAAAAAGAATACATTCGTTAGCGCATCACAAAGACAAAGGGCTTACAAAAGGATAGCTAAGTAATGGATTTTTTTAATTTGAAGTCATGAGGAGCGCAGTGATTAATCTTCCGGCTGAAGATCGTTTCTCGAGTGTAGTTTCTCGTATTAATGTTGGAATCTCCGTGCAGTTTCGTTGCAAAGGACACGGTGAGTGCAACAAAGAGAGAGGTTCGTTAGCGTCCCGGCCGGGGGCGAGGTCGCGCGCACAAACTATTTATCTCCCACCAGCTCGCGCTTCGCGACTACAACACGATCCTCAATAAAATTTATAATACATATTAATTATTTTACGTATAAATTGTATGTTACGTACTTATATAGTATTCAATAAATATTTGATATTTAAAAGTACTGCAATAGCAGGAGTTTTATTTAGGTGTCATTTATTTATTTAGTTTAGTTATTCATTTAAAAAAAAATTTATACCGACAGATGATGTATTATGGAAGTAATATGTGCGCATCGTTAACTGTGTGATTTACGTGCTTTACTCCAGAGAGCCTTATTCTGTTCTAAACTTTTAATATACGGAGAAAGTGTGGATAGGCAACAATTGGTCGACATGCATTGCTGTATAAGTATGAGCAAGGGCTTATATTGCAAGTTTAAAACGTAGTAATGTATGATCAACAATAAAATTCAATGGAAATAAGAAACAGCGCTGACTCGTATCGGTCGGGTGCGCATGGGCAAGTTATCGGAGCGAATACAAAGGGGGCAGATAGCGCGGGGAGTCTAACCGTCACTCGACCGTTGCTATTCCCCTAACTCACTAGAAAAATACTAGACGCCATCTTGATCATAACTACTAAGCAATAATGGTTAAATGCAAATGTGAGCCGGCTTATATTCTCGGTCTAAACTCTAAATTAAACAAGGAAGCAATTTCTGCTAAGTTTCAATTAAGTAGAGAAATTCAAGCGGATTTTCTGATCTCGGTTAGGTTGGAAGTTGGGAGTTAAATAAAGCAGATTAGCGTTCTCTGCGCGTTCTCTAGACAGTAATATAGGTTTAAACACGGCCGACTGAACACAAAGCCCCAAACTTGCACAGAGCACTCGCAAATCGGCTTAAGTTCGACAGTAGTAAAATGGTTTGGGATTTATATTCATTTCATTGTTGTAGATATGCGTTTTATTGTTTTATATTCGAACTGAAAAAATAACAATACACTTTCACATAGCCGTTCACACTTTCGAGAGCCAAGTTTAAATGTTTAAATACTCTTCTCATGACCTTTTTGTGGCCATTACAATAAATTAATAATCAAAGTTCATGGGTTATGGTTATGTTATATATAAAACTAAAATAATTGTCGGCGCCACCACCGGCGCATCTGAGGGAGATCAAAGAATTTAAAGCGCCTCATTGCTCATAGCTCTCCACTTCAATGCACTCCCACTTGAGCTTATCTTGACCCTCGAGCGGTAGGTAAAACGGGAGTCGTAAAAATTATACTCCAAACACTAATAATATGGCTGTAAGTGGTCTCGATGAAGCCACGGGGAAGATGTTCTGTTGTCCTCCTGCAGAGCTATTAATTATCAATGGGCACGAACGGTATCGATTTCTAATGAAAGGCTAGCAGCGTGCCGCACTGCGACCAAGGTTTGAACTTCTGAACATATACCTCGCGGCCTTTGTCGAGGCCAGGTAGGGCGACAAAAAGCGACCTTCCCCGAGGTTGTACCATCTCGCGTATCCGGGCCCTGGCAAATATTTAACTGTTTTACACATCTGCCTCCTATCCAAGACGGAAATTAGGAGCGCGTGGGATTCGCGATTCAATACAGAAAGTAATATTCGTGAGAACTTTACTCTCGTTTATTATTAGTTGAAATTAAGCGGGCGTAAAGGCTCCTCGCGCGATGTTTACCCTATCATTAAGAATGAGAACTGGATGCTGGATAATGTTGTTGGGACATGCAAATAAGTTTTTCTGGATTGTTAAGCTTTCCCAGAAGGCGAGATACCGTTCGGCAGATGTGAGGCAAGTTTCGTGACACGGTCAAGTACAGAGTTTATTTCGATTGGTGTTCAGTTCTCGTTTAAAGGTGTTTTTGACCCGGTTCGCGGCATCTGTGTTGCGGGCCGCCGACCGATGTGTGTGTGAGCGAGTGTATATCGTTGTTTTCATTTCATTATGGCCGCTTCTCTCGCTTTTACATTTTCGTAATCGCCGATACAAACTCTACCGATAGGGTTGGCGAGACTTTTATTGCCATACGTTTATGTAACTTATGACCGTTTACGTTTGCAAAGTAGTTTCGTTCACACGTGCATCGTAATAACCCGCCACTTTTTGTCACTGGGGCCATCTCGTATTTCTAAGACGACAGTCATTCTCATTTGTTTACAACGTCGAGAAAATTGTGATTTCGCGCTTATCCTGACGCGTGGAAGTACCAGGGTCGCATGGCTAGCGGGCGGGCAGCCCTGGCGTGCAAGCAGGATGGTGCGCTACGCGGAGCGAACTCGTCGGTCTCTGTCGGGCGCGTTTTTTGCGGCGCCGGAGTGTGGGAACGCGGCGGCAGGTGGGGCTGCCGAGATTGCGACGCGACATCCGCCCGGCCACAATGCATCTCGAGACGCACCGCTTTGTTTTACAATACACGACGCGATGTGTTTAACATACGTCAGAACGTCGTAATGACGTTTGAAAAGTATAGATATGTTTTTTGGTCAACGCTCATACGTATTTATTAATGGTAAATGGTACTCATAAAAGCGAGTATCGGTGAATGTCGCTAATGATGCGCTGCCGTAGATTGCTTTGTTTACAAATGGTACGCATTCATGAAGGAAAACAAACATGGACCACACGCCTGTAAGATCACACTCACATACTCATGCCAACTGGCTGGCTGACGGAAGAAAGTTTATGAGAGGTGTAAAGGCTTGCATTTCGAAATATGAATTATTTTAAATAGAGTTGTTAATTTAGTAAACATGAAATATTATCTCTAAACTACAAATTCACCTAAAAAGTCAATGGCATGCGTCTGTTTGATGACCGCGTTTATAAGAAAAACCACTAATGAAATTGGATGTGGTTTTAAGAGCGGATATTTTTAAGGAAAGTTCATGTTTTATTGTTAGAACGGTTACCTCTCGTAGCTGAGTGTTAACGATAATTATACCTATACATCAAGTTGGACAACTATTGCTTTAAGTATTTGAAGCCATACTGCGTTGCTACTACTCTATTAAAATGATAAATGCAAAAATGTATAAGGATGGATGTTTGTTTCTCTTTTATGCGAAAAATACTGTTTTCTTTATTTAATTTGGTACACAGATAGATCATACAGCTTACATAAGATTACAGCTGTTTATAAACTAATGTTTATGTCCAGAGAAAGTTTGGCGTGATGTTATAATAATATATAGTCCAATATTTAATTATGTGTGTATGAACTAATTAAAACAATGATTAACGACTGAGATATTGTGACAATAAATCATTATGATTCGTGAATTATACATCACCAACAAACATGAAATGTTCTTATAATGCTGAATAAATATTGCGACAAGCCTCCATTTTACACGCTACTAGCTGATACCTGTGACTTCGTGTGATTGTCAGATTTATATTGTTATTAATGGTATTATATGTTAAGTTTAATTAACCCATTTTGTTGTCAAAAAGCAACAAAATGACAGAGACATTTTCGAATTTATAATATTAATTAACGGAGTGATGATCTTACAATATCTCTGTATGTAATATTGTATGATATTATTTTTTTTTAAAACAAGTGCGAGCGGAACCGATTGTAAAGAACAGTAGATATTAAAGAAATAAATAAATATGCTATCTCAGTATCTATTCCAGTATCTAATGCAGAAGGCCGGTCATTTTAATTAAGTACTTATTAGGAAGCCACGCAAAAAATGTCACACCGACTTTAATGAGGAAGAGGGAATTGGGGGGGCTGTGACATATTTAAAACAATAGGAATGTGAGGTTACGCATATGATCTATTTAACATGACAACTCATTGCGGTCCCACGGTTGAGCAGTCTCTTATCGTCCGGTGAAGCTGTTAAGGCCAGCTGCGCCCAGCATTAGAGTAATACGAAAAAAAGTGTCCTAAGCAAAGGAACCCAATAATGCCCATGCTGGCCTTGTTTCCTAAGTATAAATACGTATTAATGATATAAATGCAAAAGAGTGTCTGTCGGTCTGTCACATTTTTGATGATTAACCGACAGAACAGTAATTAGTATAATTTGACATACATATAAGTTGTATTACGAGAACGCACATAGGCCATCGTTTATTTCGAAATATAACCTGAAAGATGTGATATAGGGGATGATAGGTGGTACAGACGATATCGCTGATAACAACTATAAATATCATAAATGCCTTTATACGTCTTAACCAATTTTTACAAAATGTAATATGGAAAAAGACGTAAGCGATCACGTGGACGAAGACGCAAGCGGAAGGTAGTTAAATATATACTTCAAGCAAGATTCAATAGTATAAGTATATAAATTATTCGAGTAATTACATATTACAGACGGCACGCGTCACCAACTAATCAAATAATAATTAGTACCAACTCATGTAAATATAAAGATGTAAATATAAATATAAAGAACTCGATTATGATGAATGATAACCACTCGAAATTATACAGTATATAAACATATGAGTAAAGTACAATGGACCTACTGCGAAGGCTTCCTCCCACATCAATATCATCTATTTCATCTGTGTGAACAGAGACTATCTTATGTGATTCTGACGTAAAAAAGAGTATTTAAGAAAGATTTTCGCGTGCGATTATAAGTAATAGATTAATAGTATGAATATACAAGAGCTTTGATAATTTAACTGGAGAATACATAAATGAAAAAAATATCTTCGTAGGTATATAATATAAAAAAAACTAGACAATACACACACCGTCATCTATCTTCAAACTAAGCACAGCTTGTAATAGTTTTATATCTTTGTATTTTGAATCATCGTAAAAATTTCTCACAGTAATATAAATATTAATAAACTTACGTTTCGAACAGTAGTCTCCCGTCCATCCGGGTCGGCACACAATTTCCCCGGTAGGCGAACAGGTGTAATGCCCAAAGCCATCGTCCCTCGGCCTGCAGAGGACCTCGCAGCCCGTCCCGTAGTAATGCGCCGCGCACGTCACCCGGTAAGAAAGCCTCAAGTGTGGACCTCCAACACTCCCCCATTTTTGTTCTTCTTCGACCCAAGGACCTCCAACATCAGCTATACTCTGCTTCGTCATCCGCGCGATCAGCGAATCTAGAATCAAAAGGTGATGTGTAAAGATAGCGCTTAATTGAAATACCTCATGACAATTACTCAAGAGTTTCGTGGCTAGCATATGGTTTCCTAAAAGATACCTTTAGTTTTACAAAGCGAATCAAACTACTGTGATATAGTTAATGAGTATTAAAGAACAAGTTGAAATTTTAGAGGATCCGGTTGGGTTTCCATATTAGTATAACCGGAGTGCAGTCAAGCGTTCATCGTATGAGCTGTTTTAAAATGATTATGAAATCTTAAAGTTTTGAAAATAAACATTATAAAAAAGAATTGATATCTAAGGATAATTTAATTAGATTAGAATCTGTTAAATGCACAAATATTTGTTTATCATCGTGGGAAAGGGTTTCCAGAAGTAAATTGACCTGTTAACGTCGCTCGTTTGACGCCCGCATTCGACCGTGAGATTTCATTGTTCCCAAGCGTGATTCACTGTTTTGATTTGACGGAGGCGCCCGTTCTAAGATTGATTAATAGTTTTAACTACTTACATACCTTTTGTAACATAGTAGCCTGTACGTTAATAGGTAAACTAGCGAAAAACGGCAATTCTCAACGCCAGGATATGCAGTGTCACTGCAGTAACGATGACATAACAGAGACACAAAAACTGGTCTGTGAAACTACCCACGGTCGCTTATAAAAAAACTGCCACTCCATTCATCAAACCGCTGTAAGTGGCGAGTCGAAGGCATGCTGAGAAATCTCAGCCCCGACCAGTTCCTACCTTTATTTATTTCTCGTCGTGTATGCCCGTTTTTTATTCTCTTTGCTTCGATGGTACATTCCTAAGCCGGTAATCCCGACAGCAGATAAAATTAAACCAGACGCGAAACAAAATTAAAAGGTATATAAAAACGATCGATCCCTACTAATTTCGTGGCGTATGGTATTCGATACGACTGTTCTTTGTTTTGTTGTCTGGGGTGTCGGAGATAACGCGTATTCAGTAATGAGACTGTGTCGACAGTTTAACTCAAATCTAACAATTCCATTCCGATTGATTTTTATTTACAAATTCGAAGACGGGTAATATCGTAAAGATAATCGCGATCGCTTATGAAATATTCGAATGTATTGTAATGCACACGATTTACCGATGAGGTATAAGCTTACAACGATTGTATCTGACCAATAAATTTAAAAGATACCACACCAGTATGAACATGCCAGTAACAGTTTAGTCAAAGACGCAACGGTAGGTGTATAAGTTCAAGACGAATTCTAATGGAGTAAAAATTGTGGAATGTTTTTAATCATTTATAATTGGTTGTATAAGTAAGTGTTGATAAGATTCCCTATACTAACATTCGACCCTTTACAGTATTCGATTTCAAATTCCGATTCGTCAACATTGTTTACATACTATAAATATACAGCGGTATCGATGAATATCGAGAAGTTTAATCGATTAATGCTTTTAAAAAACCAATTAACAGCATAGCGAAAAATGTATGTCCAATTCGCGTCTCGCTTATGAACAAGAATGACATTTGTAGTGTTTTCCTACAAAGTTAATAAACAATGCGAGTGTAAAAAGATAGACTTCAGAGAAACGTTATTACACTCGAGTGTTCTGAGTTCGGAGGGAATTAGAAAAATGACGTGTGGGAACCGAATGCGGGCGCTGTGTGCAATTTAGTTTAAATGTGCAACAGAGAATTATGGCAACCGTGCACTTGGCGGTTCAACTATAGTAGGGCTGCGTCTTGCATATGTGAGGATATAAAATTATCACTCACGATAATTAATAAATAATACCCAATATTTGATGGTAACTTGTAACTCTTAATATTCTCCGTAACAATTTACAATTTATTGTTTATGAGTCATAAATATTGTTTCATGTAATGACTCAGCGAAACTACATATGTATATTAAGTTAAAAATAAACTATAGAAAATAGCGTATGACGTTTTTATTCACTATTATCTGGTGAAGTCAACAAAATCTCGTCGGCTTGGTGCCACGAAACAACCGCACAAATTACACCCATCATCCTAATTCAGAGCCGTAACGATATTAAATGAAGGTGTACCCGGCTATCGCGTCTATTAATGTAATTCCGATTCACAAATAAATAACACATTTAAAGAAGAACGGGGCAGTAAGTCTGGGTACGTGCCGCGCCGCCGCTACGTCAGATAACGTGTAATTACGGGCCCAGAGGTCACTACAAATAAAATGAAAATAAATCCGAACGGCAAACGCCAATAAACAAAAACAAAAGAAAGCGAAATAACCGATAATTTGGTTTGGCTTCGCTATCGGAGGCGGACGCGGCCGATTTGGGATGTTCAAAACGCGAATTTAGGGAAACGCTGGGGATGCGATCACGCGAGGTGGCTTCCGCTGTGATGATCGATCGATCGGTCGATAAATAAGGCCGCCGGATATCGGTCTCTCATTCATTATGCTTTTAGATCGACGTTCATGTCTAACGCCTAAACTGGATTGTGCTGATAGTCTAATTAGTGGGATGTGGGCGTTGAACGAAATCGAAATCGGTGACGCGCAGTGCTGTGCGAAGGTTCGACGACTTTTTGCAGCTGAGACCCGCATCATTAGCCGCTGCCTCGATTTCCACTTCTCGATTCGGACACCTGCCCCGGCCGGTCGCGGTGCGCCGCCGGCGTTGTGGGAAACGGTCATCTCATCAATGGACTGTGTACACAAACTACTCACTTCTTTTGTTTATAAAACTGTCCACTTCTACGCTCATCGGCTATTTATTTGACATCTAAGTGCACATTGGAGTCGCGCTACATAAATAACTTATCCATTCGATGATAGACTGCATCGGACATTTAGGATTTCAATTTAACAATAACAAACAATTTAACGTTGTTTTCTAAAGGATTTCGCGCAATACGACACTGAGGGCGCTTCATTTTAAATATCTCATTGTTTAGTAAGAAAATGTACAATTTCGTTCCGCGCGGAGAATTCGATAAATGCAGAGGATTGTGTAATGTAGTTGTTACATATGCAAGCGGCTGACGTGGTACGTTTAACCTTTGTGAAAGCTAATTAACAGTGAGTAATCATAAATAGACGCGAAAGCTCTGGGAACGCACACGAGGAGCGGCTGAAACTGACTAATAATGCACGGCCGGAAAGCGAGATAAGCTGCCGTCACAACATAACAGTATCGATAATCGCATCTCGGTCGTGTAATGTCAGGCGGCGATCGGTAGCACGGCCCGCGGCAAGTTGTGATGATCACCACACTACAAGTAATTGCCTTTACGAATCTCTTAACGATACATTTCACACGCTTATCGTCCGTTTCGCCTGTACGAGCGAGAGCGATATTATAATCGTAAACAGGACGGCTAAGTAAACAGAGTTCAGGACGAGACAGTGGAAGTGTGCCCACCTATTATCCGAGAGCATGTGCTTGGCATCTGTCGACAACGTTTCCTGAGAACGCTACAGCGCCTGTTATATCATAAATTTGTACCTTCCGGAGCGCCTTCCGTGCTTTTTTACTCGATTGAAGCCCTACAACGACGACGAAAGATGAAGTGTAAACTAAAAGCTACTTCCCTCAGAAGAATGTTTTTTAGCATTGGGTAAACAATACGCCGACCCGTTAGTATGAACCAGGTGCGGCCTTGCCCGCCTCGGGCGCACACAAAAGATTTCGGTGAAGAAACGAGCGACAACATCAGCATCGCCAGCCGCTATTGTTGTATTTGTTAGCACGGGAATTTCGTTATTTATCTCTATGAAGCCAGCAACTATTCAAAATACAATTGTGTGTTTATCTCCATGATATATTAGATTCTTTAGTCGTGTGGTCCTATTCTTCGTTGACTGTCTTGAGTATGAAAATTGAAATACGAGGGTCGAAAAATATTAGTTTGTGCCACGGTCGATTTAAATTCAGATTGCAGCTGTTCTAATATCGATATTAGATAAAAAATCATATATGATTTAATTAAGCATTAGCCCAGTGAGTAGATGGTGAGTGAACACAAACGGCCTTCTTGTAACCTGTTATTATGGTTGATTAGATTTCTGTTGGTAACATTTCTCGGTAGTAAGACGGCGCCGCCCATCGCTCCCGAGCCGTATTAAAAATATACCCGTCCACTAAGCTATCCACCGCGGACGCTAATGATTTTCGTTGTACCGACCCGTAGACACACCTCGTCGTATCTCCGAATCTTGTCTAAGTAAATCACCGGTTTTTTTGGTTGTTGTTCGGTCTGGAGTAGTAATTATGTCGGTCAGAGTGCAGCAGGATGAAATTCTAATTAAAATATGGGCGTAGCCGGCAGTTTTCGCGGCGGATTGTTTTATAATTTTTGAAAAGTCGACTTGTATGTTAGATTCTTCGGTTTTTTCGTGATGTAGTTACGTATCGATGCACGAAGTGAATTATCATGATGATGTATTTATGAGCAGGCCCGGTACATTTCATTCGGAATGGTTTTTTCGGTCACGCCATGTCGCATGCACGCCGTAAACTGTCGATTCTTTATTGGGCGTTTCGACTCAACGTGGCATCGTCGAATGGAATAAGCACAAGTTATTCGATCAAATCGATTGTTTTAATGATAACAATCTAATATTATTCGTGCACATGGCATCTCCAATTTAAACGTTTCATGTATTAGTAATCGCGTGTGAAACAAAACGCGATCGTAAATACAATTCGCCTATTTTTTTGGTGTTGCGTTATAACTCGCCCATGCTGCCGGTCAACGGCCATCAGAATACATTAGAACATTTCTACTAAATTTTCGTCCTACAGAAGGCTGACTTTATTAGAATACGACGAGCATTGCGAAGCGAATCACGCGCGTTGCCGCGTGCCCTGAACACCAATCGTCCACACCATGGGAACATTTTTGTCTTCCACGATATGATAATATGAGCATTCAAATATACATACTGTCCGTTAAATGCACGATAAACACACAGAATTACAGTGAAACCTGAATGCGAGTGAGTCGTGAGCGACGTGATTAGAATTTTACAAGCGATTTTCATGACCCTCTTTATCATAATCGTATTAGAAAGAAAACACTCACCGTCAGATCTTGACGTCTCGTTGGTGTCGTGCCACGCTTCGACTATAAGCGAGAATGTGCCCTGGAAAGAGAAATAACGGATTAATAAAAATCATCACAGTCTGCATTACTTTGCTGCACAAGAAAGTAATGTGAAACTTATCAGGAAATCACGAAAAAGCAATCATATGGACGGATAACGGAATATTTAATCTCTAAACGCAATATTGGTTCGGATTATCAATGTAACTTCCCGTATTACTAAATTATCTAAATGTCTACATTTAGTTTTATTCCCAGAAATTATTCATCAATACATATTGGAAATTTCACCCGTCAAGTCTAGTAGAATACTTGATTTGGCCATAATGCCAATTGATAAGAATTTCATAATATGAACACGTGACAATTTATTTTCAGTTGTTGCATCATAAATGCAAAACATTTAACTAAGTTTTATAGTTCGTATTTATTACTAGTATTTACATAACCTAATTGTACAACTAAGAACCTAAAAGTAAAAAGCTTAAAAAAATATATAATATGATGACTAAAATATATTATTAAAAGGGGTCCCTTTAGGCAACGTTCCGAAGATACTGGCAGCGTTCCCTCTTTGAATTTTTTTACTTTAACTAAGTATATTTTAGAAAATATCGTGTATGGATTATTTCTCATATTTCGTCCAATCAAGGTATAATGACATATCCTTTTGAATGCAGACCTTTAAAACAGTCCCCTTAGTATTTCATACATTTCCTTTATTCATAACATAGTCACATTCTTGGTATGTTGGTGGGGTGTAAATTGGCATATGATAGACAGGTGAACCAGTAAGCAGATGGCAGAAATTGTTTCAGTACGGGATAAAAATACGCAGGCTTACGACGACAAACGTGCGTACTTAACTCGCCCAATATGGGATCATGTAATGGTTCCGTGCCTTTATAAAAAATCGAGAACGAGTGCGTATCAGATAGTGAGCTATTGACATTTGTCGATGTTTACATAAGGAGCGAAACGGCAGTCGAAAATCGATTACAAAAGATAAGGAAGGAGTCAACACCTTTCGGGCGCCCACGTCTCTTACTTATCGATGGTTTTGATAGCCGCTCTAAAGTAGCCATGCAAAAATGTATCCGTCACGGGTTATAGTTACATGTGTTTTGCATTCTCTATCTCACTGTTCTTGTAGCTATCAGTAGCCTTGAAAACAATCTACTCGTAACCAAAAGACGACTAAGGGTATGTAATTTGTATTTATACTGTAGATTCATACTAAAATGTATAAAAATACATACATTTTGCAAATTCTACTAAATATAGATTGCGTTACTTATGTATAGACCAACAAGCCCTTTTTACTAACTTTTCGTGTAATGGAAATTTAATTGCACGAATGTAGGCGTGACTAGCGTCCTAAAAATATTGCACAAAAAGCTACTGTAAATATATTTGTAGGTAAAATATGTTCAATAATTGCTTCAAAGTACTTGAAAAGGACAACAAAAGCCAACTTGACGAGAGCGTTGCAACGATGATATACGTATGAATTTTAAGACGGATGGACGGAATTCGAGACAGTATTATAATTACAATAAGCATGCCACGGGTCGTGGCTGCAGCTGCGCACGGCGGATACGAAGGGTCACCATATTAATTTGATCACTCCGCTACTCTTAAAGAGTGATTCAGTTTTTCCTGACAGATGTCGTCCGTACTCAATTAGTCTTGATGAATGAAAACATCATTTGCATAGGCGAACAATGATTCTATTTGCATAGGAACTGATATGTAGCTTTTCCAATGAACAATGCAAGAAATCAATACTAGAAATCATCGTTTCCCAACCCACCTCGTATGGTGTTTTATAAAAGTGAACGTTTTTCCGTAACTTTTTCTCATCAACTCTCATTAGAGCTCTCGGTATAATATAAGGTTTTGACGAATTAATAAAAAGTTTTCTTTAAATACGGCGACAATACAAGCGGACGTGTTATCGGCTGATTCTGAATACTAAACAGGCTGACGTGTTGTGACCAAACAAATTTGAGCCTTAAACGCACTCGGTACATAATTATCAGTGTTTGTACCGAAATGTCAATTTATCGTAAACCTTACTCGGTGTAAATAAGGAGCGAAGGACAGTTGTCATTACATTTTATTATGATTTGTGTTGCGTTTAGCCGATCAAATATGGCAAGTATAGTACGGTGTATTGATTTGTTAATCGAGTATGGAGAGCGCATTTCGGTCAGCTGTGGCCGGTTGTAAGTATAATGCTGGTTCCCACGACAGTGACTCTCGAGGTAGCCCATAAAAAGCGGCCGACGCAAGCGTACGTGTGGTGGTAGCCTTTATAGATGTGTCGACCTGGTACTGTACAATGAGCACAGACTGGAGCTAGCTAGCAATTAAGGAAATATACTCGCCCGTATCCAACAAACTTTATTTCACGTCGATCATATTCGAATTCATTGCAGTTTGTTCCAATTTCAAATAATATACTGGCCATAAAAGTGTAAATTACCGTTTCTAATTTGGACGTATCTTTTATTTTTAAAACTAAAAGATGTTTACGATGTAAAACACAATATCGATATATGAGATCGAGCCATATCGGGACGCATTAATTCTATCCCTCGAATGTGATGCGTTAAATTGTATTAAAGACTTAAACGAGCCAATAGAATCATATCATGCGGTCTCAATGCTGGGGAATTATTTGATAATCGTTTTATGAGGGTTCCTAAAGAGGCTACTTCCATATCGGAGCCTGTTTCGGAGTTATTTCGTTATTAATTAAGGAACCCAGTTTAAGGGTACGTCGATACGTGGGAACAGACTGTACTTTTGTGACTCTTGTTTGTAAGCGCCATTTGTTTGGGATTTACAGCTTTCGAACAAAAGAAATAATAAGGTATTGGGTCGGTGCATTTGTGAATCTTACTGACACGTGTTTCGGTCGCTATTGTTTATTTAATGTTTATTTCTTTAGAAATTGCAACAGATGTGGGGGACATTCAATTGTTTCCGTTAACACTTATTACTATACCTCTGTGAAGTTTTTCTCTTTACCAGCTTTTAGGGTACGCGGCAATAAGGTTTAGAGCGGCCAACATTGGCCATGCAAGTACTTACTACTACTTAGATATGTAACGATAAATAGAACAAGGTCGTTACAGTACGGATGGTGGATTATTCGGTCAATATTGATACAATATCGAAAGTATTCATAAAACCCATAACAAAAACGATATTACCGTAGTTAGCTTTCAAGTTTCGTCACGAGAAGATATTTGGAACTCAAATACACGGGCAAGTGGAAGAGTCGTGATTTCATATTTCACACTTTGTACCCGCGTGGTAAAGTCGCTTGGTTTTTTTTTTAGTTCCATCCAAATAGATGTGGTTTTCCTGTGGCCTAATGAAATTTGATTATTATTACATAAGCATTAGAGTTAAAAATAGTTAATGCATATGTCGATAGGTAGATTAGAGTGGCCCCGTGTGCCAAGCGTCAAATTAATAAAAACATATGCAAATCTCAATGTCTGGCAGATAAGTTTCTTTATTAAAGTGTTTCGAACGCATTTAATTCTGATTATTAATGCTTTTAATTAAGTTTATCTGCTTCTATTTTGGCATCTGCGATTGCACAGTACGTTGACCTGTGAATCACGAGCAAACCAGAGTACGAATTTGCGAACGAGAATCTAATGTCATTTTAAGGTTTTTTATGTAACTGGATTAGCAAATAAACTGAGTTAAGTCTAACTAGGTAGAAAGGTAAGACCTTTTGTCTGGTGTGAGTGCAAGAGGTACTTCCTGTGAAAAGTCCTGGTGTAAGTATCCAGGTCGAGAGTTTACTGGCGTCGCTACTACATACGTATAGAATGCTAAACAGTTTCGAGTTAAAAACGAGCAAGTATTGTTTGTGGTGAGCCTATTGTACTGTCCAATCCATAGCCATAGTTTGTAGTCAGAGTCTGTAGACAGAGTAACAGTCTATTAAATCTAGCGATGTTTCTATACGTAACTACTAAAGTGCAAAACGTCTATCTTCGTCCAAAAGTTCATGTAAATTTTAATTCCATTTTCCATTAAAATATTAGACTATAAGAGTTGATTTAGAGAGAGATTATAGATATGTCTCTTCCCATTCAAACTCTCCGAGTTTGAATGTATACCTGTATTTACAATACCAAAATGAGTGATATGCTATGTTTCCAAACGACAAAGAATAACATGAAAGAATTTTAAAAAGCTAAACCATTATTATGTTATCTCAGATAATGTAATAAGCATTTTGGAAATGTGCCAACTGATTCGAAACTACCATGAGAGATTTATTAAACGCACTTCGTTTATACGAGCTTTTTAGACAACTGTTGTTAAACATACTACAGTTTCTATTGTGATAATTGGACAGAAGCATTTGCATTAGTAACTAAATTAATTGACTATGTGTGGTCTCAATTTTTGGCGTTTATAGAAACTAGCTCCGACACGTTATAACCCCGGAAAAATGATATAATGGCAATTATGCTAGAAAAATGTTTAGAACGTTGTTTAAAGTATTATTAAATAAACAATCTCAACCGGATTTAAACACAGGAAACAAATAATTTCATACTTAAAAATTCGTATTGTTGAATTGTTGAAACAATCGAAATAATATCGCAATATAACTCACTTACGATTTCACGAAATTTGTCAGCGGCTTAATATTACCTGGGAGAACTGGCGTAATCGATGCACAATTGTTTAATTACTTACTTACAAAAAACTCCACACCAATTAGTGGCTGTCAGGAATTTTCACACGCCAATCATAAAATTAACCATAAAATTGAGATGTTAATAATGTTGCAGCGTTGCCACACTCGGTGTGCCTGGATCGTGAAAGTAAACATGGCGGTAGGTGCACTAAGAAAAATTAACCCGAGTGTTTAGTGCACCATTATGAAAGGATTAATTACCGCGCCCGCTTTACCGGGAAACATTAAAAAAATACGAAACGCCGCTCGTAACTTAAACGAAATGTTATACTTTTATATCTGTGACAATTATTTTACGAAAC